GCTGCCGTCGACATCATGAACCATCAGATCCTCCTATCCACCCTCTCAGGGCTGGTTGTCTCAGGCTCTGCACACTCTTGGATTGCATCCTACCCAGCAGGCCACTCCTACCAGGTGATGTGGAGAGGATCTGTGTCTGCACCACGTACTCTCACTACTGGTGTCCCCCAAGGCTCGGTTCTAGGCCCTCTCCTCTTCTCTCTTCACACCAAGTCACTCAGCTCCGTCATATCCTCACATTGTCTCTCCTATCATTGCTATGCAGATGACACTCAACTACTTTTCTCCTTCCCCCCTTCTGACACCCAGGTGGCGACACTCCTCTCAGCGTGCCTGGCAGATATCTCAGCTTGGATGTCGGCCCACCACCACAAGCTCAACCTCAACAAGATGGAGCTGCTCTTCCTCCCGGGGAAGGCCTGCCCGCTCAAAGATCTCTCCATCACGGTTGACAACTCCACAGTGTCGCCTTCCCAGAGTGCAAAGAACCTTGGCATGACCTGCAAACGTCAAAGCAGTGACTCGCTCCTGCAATTTCATGCTCTAAAACATCCGTAGAGTACAACCCTACCTCACACAGGAAGCGGCGCAGGTCCTAATCCAGGAACTTGTCATCTGGACTATTGCAACTTGCTGTTGGCTGGGCTCCCCGCTTGTGCCATCAAACCCCTACAATTTATCCAGAACGCTGCAGCCCGCCATGTTTTCAACCATCCCAAGTTCTCCCAAGTCACCCCGCTCCTCCGCACACTCCACTGGCTTCCAGTCAAAGCTCGCATCCACTACAGGACCATGGTGCTTGCCTACTGAGCAGCAAGAGGAACTGCCCCTCACTACCTTCAGGCTATGCTCAAACCCTACACCCCAACCCGAGCACTCCGTTTTGCCACCTCTGGTCTCTTGGCCCTCCCACCCCTACGGGAGGGCAGCTTCCGCTCATCCCAGTCCAAGCTCTTCTCTGTCCTGGCATCCCAATGGTGGAACCAGCTTCCCCCTGAAGCTAGGACAGCAGAGTCCCTGCCTATCTTGCGAAAGCACCTGAAACCCTACCTCTTCATAGAGTATCTGAAATAACTTTCCTGAACCAACATTTGAGAGAGAGAGAGAGAGAGAGAGAGAGAGAGAGAGAGATAGAGATCGAGTCGATATAGATAGAGAGAGAGAGATATAGAGAGAGCGAGAGAGAGATGAGGGATAGACGCATAGGAGAGATAGAGAGGTAGAGAGAGGAGAGGAGAGAGGAGAGTGAGAGAGAGAGGAGAGGAGAGAGAGAGAGATGCATAGTTGATGTTCCAGACGCAACTCGGATGGAGGAAATACAGTGCCTTGCAAAAGTATACAGACCCCTTAGATGTCTTCACATTTTGTCAACAATCTACTCAAAATACTGTCAATGTGGAAGATAGAATTATTATTTACGTTTTTCGTGATATCACCCCGTGGAGTACAGTCCTTGTCCAATCGCTTTACATGCAACTCACAATATGGGATTTTATTTTACCCTTTTCGGTATCCAATTGTAGTTACAGTCTTGTCCAATCGCTGCAACTCCCCTATGGACTTGTGTGAGTCATTCGTCCTCCGAAAACACAACCCTGCCAAGCCGCACTGCTTCTTGACACACTGCTTAACCCAGAAGCCAGCCGCACCAATGTGTCGGAGGAAACACCATCCAGCTGGTGACCGAGTCAGCTTGCAGGCGGCCAGCCCGTCACAAGGAGTCGCTAGAGCGCGATGGGACAAGGAAACCCCAGCCGGCCAAACCCTCCCCTAACCCGGACGACGCTGGGCCAATTGTGCGCCGTCTCATGGATCTCCCGGTCACAGCCTGGGATCGAACCCCGGTCTGTAGTGACGCCTCAAGCACTGCGATGCAGTGCCTTAGACCGCTGCCCCACTCGGGAGGCCGGAAGTTTTTTTTTATTTCGATTAATGCAAATTAGATAACAAAAATATAGTCGTTGCATTAGTATTCAGCCCCTTTGTTCAGGCAAGCCTCAATAAGTTGAGGATTAACATTTGTCTTAAGAAATCACATAATACATTGCATGGACTTACTTACTCTGTGTGAAATAATAGGTTTTGCATTCTTTTTTAATGACTAACCCTTCCTCTGTCCCCCATAAATATAACATATGTAAGGTAAAATGTCCCTCAGTCAAGTATTGAATTTCAAGCACAGATTTAACTACAAAGACCAGGGAGCTTTTTCGAAAGCCTCAAAAAGAAGGGCAGTGACTGGTTAATGGGTAACAATAACAAATCAGACATTGAATATCTGTTTAAGCATGATCAAGTGAATACCTATGCTTTGGATTATGTATTAAACCACCCAGACACATCAAAGATACAGTCGTCCGTCTGAACTGAGCTGCAGGACAGGAATAAACTGCTCAGGGATGTTACCATGAGGCCATTGGTGATTTTAAAACAGTCACAGAGTTCAATGGCTATGATTGGATAAAACTGAGGCTGGATCAACAACATTGCAGTGACTCCACAATAATTACTTAAATGACAGAGTGAAAAGAAGAATACAAATAAACAGAATATTCCAAAACATTCATTTTGTATGCAGTAAGGCACTAAAGTAATACTGCAAAAAAAACACTGCAAAGGAATACACTTTTTTGGCCTAAATGCAAAGCCTTATGTTTGGGGCAAATCCAACACAACACATCACTGAGTATATTTTCAAGTATGGTTTTTCAGGATAAAAAGAAACAGGATAAGCACAGGCAAAATCCTAGAGGAAAACCTGCTTCAGTCTGCTTTACACCAGACACTGGAGAGGAATTCACTTTTCAGCAGGACAATAACCTACAAGACAAGGCCAAAACTACACTGGAGTTGCTTACCAAGAAGACAGTGAATGTTCCTGAGTGGCCAAGTTACAGTTATGACTTAAATCTGCTTGAAAATCTATGGCAAGATTTGAAAATTGCTGTGTAGCCATGTGCAACAACATCTTGACAGAGATTGAATAATTATGAAAAGAATAAAGAGCTATATTGCACAACCAGGTGTGTAAAGCTCACAGAGACTTACCCAAGAAGACTCACAGCTGTAATCGCTGCTAACAGTGTTTTTTTTAAACATGTATTGACTCAGGGAGCTGAATACTTATGCAACAATTATATTTTAGTTATTTAATTTCTATTAATCTAAACAAAAAATTATAATCTTCCACTTTGACATTACAGAGTATTTTGTGTAGATTGTTACAAAAAAATACTATTAAATCAATTTGAATCCCAGTGTGTAACACAATCAAATGTGAAGAAATCCATGGTATGAATACTTTTGCAAGGCACTGTAAGTGGTTTTATTGGCCATGGGGCCATGGGGCCATGGGGCCATGGGATACTCTGTGTGTGTGGTCATTCCCAATGAGTCATGGGACACCACAGCCTGGGCCGGGTGGGCAGGGCAGGCAGCTGCCAGACAATAAGACACACAGCGCTGATTTGCACAAATTGTGGCTGTTCATTCAGCGTAGTGAGGATGAAGGAGGAGGGGGTTATTCAAATCGAATGTAAACATGTCTGCTCCACAGTTATAAATCATGGTCTGGGGCACATGCTTAGCCAATACAAGGAGAGGAGTCCATGATATACAGAGACTGCATCCTAAATGGCACCCTTTCCCTATATAGTGCACTACTTTTGACTAGGGCCCATAGGGCTCTGGTCAAAAGTAGTGCACTCTGTTCGGAATAGGCTGCCATTTGAGACAAAGGCAGAGACAGACTAGCTACCTTTCTGTGGAGGGTGGATCGCCCCATTAACTGTCTGACTCTGAGCTCACTTCTGATGGGGCTGAGTGGCTAAAGGAAGGGAAGGTTCCACGCACAATCAAAGCTTTGGAAGTTATCTGGATATTTTCCTTTTGCATCTACCTGAAAAGGAAAATATGCAATTGGATCTGGTTAATCAACTAGGCCTGATTTGTGTATAGTTTACCAATCTCAAAACATACCAATACCTATATTTCACTCTCCTGGAAATATTCAAAAAATATATATGCCAACCTGAAATAATGAAATCACTTCCATCATCAACTTTTGAAATTATAGCCAGATGAGATGGGTTGTGTCTTGAAAATTAACACTTTTGATACAGTAGGTGAATGGTGAAGTGCTCTCAATTATTGAATGAATCAAGTCTGAATTACTTTATTTGCAGAGCCTAAATGTAAAATCTCCTTCAAATAGACTGTTTTCAGTTTGCCCAGAATGTTTGTCTGTAAAACACAGCCAAAGCCAAATCAGACATCCATCCTAGAGGAAGTTTCTAAAGAGACACTACCTCTTTGGTTCTGTGGACACTCTACTTTAGAAAATGAACTTTAAGTCGTCATGAAGGCATCACACTGTACTAACGTAAATAGCACACCAGCATGCTGCAGGCAGGGAGAGAGGAATAGAGTTTTGCTTTTCGAATCTCATTCCTTTTGACCTGTCTCCCACTACGTTGTTGAGTGGTATCCTAGCTACCGGAGGAGGCTTTGCAGTGGCTGTTTCCAAGGAAACGACTAACCGCTAACCTTGATTGCTAGCTAGCTGGTAGCTAGTAGCTGGTAGCTAGCTAGTGGTCCTTGAACAAAATACTTCAAATAGTTGGTAAGTTTGCAAGATATAAAAACTATATGGAAAATATAAATGTTTAAATATAAATGTTCACTGTACTCTTAGAACATTTGCAGATTAGTTTGTTCGTTTGGACAAACGCTTCAACAATGTCTTGAAGTTTCAGGTTTTTGATGGAATGATGATGTTAAGTTAGCAACGGGGTCAGCCGGCTACTGTAGCCAGTTGTTCCTTTTCACAGTCAACAACATGCTGTAAACTTAGCTAGCCATCTACCGTCTTATCTGACTGCCAGTCTACTTTAACTCTAGCTAGCAAATTAACAGTTTGTTAACATGTCTTGCTAGAATTGTTATTGTCACCAATTCCACCAAAACAGTTTCAGGACGTTGCCAGTGCCTCAGCTGCTACTATGGGGGTAGCACTGACCAGAGCAGTGCAATGGACCACAGCAAGTTCTGGGACGGGCAAACTGGAGATCACCCCAGTCAACGAGTCTCTGCTGAAAGAGATCCTACAGTTTGTGGAACAGTTCAGCTCCAGACACCCTCAGGAGGCTAAACATGTGTTCAATGAGCCGCTGCAGTGGACTACCTCTTTGGAGGCTTCTGATTTCAAAACAGAGTATGACATCAGGTAATCATGAGGCAGGCTGTTTGTGTAACGTTAATGTTACTGACTGGGGATGTTTTTATGGAGTTAAAACATATTTTGAGCCTTGCAGCAGGACTCATATGTACAATATGTTCTTGAATTAAGGTGTTTTCTGTTCAACTTCAGTAGCTAGGACAGAAAACATAAACTACAGTATTTTGTCATTTTTCCTTGGCTGTCTGCATGTGATTAGATGGGTGATTATCACGAAACTGGCACTTGACAAAAATAAACACATTTTCCATAATTCCTCTTGGATCACTATGATTAGGATCTGTATTTATCTATTTCATAATTATAGTTATGTTTTTATTGATCATATATTATACATTTTAACACAATTTCCATAACTACCAATGCAAAAATGCTCATTACCTCATCAGTTTTCAAAGTCCAAAAAAGTAAAAAACAAGTCTATTTCTAATATTTTGTAACATTGCTCACCTAATGAAAAGGCCTGAGTTAAACATTTTACTGAAAAAATATGTATTTAAAATGTAATTATTAAAATGTTTTTTGTAATTTATCTCATTACCGCAACACAACCTTTTCTGAATATTGTTTTTCGGCATAATTACTTGTGTATACATGTTAATTTTATATATTTGGATAAAGAACTGAAGGCACACTATCAGATTAAGCCAAAATTACTAAAGTATCCATTTTACTTTTCCTAATATTGGTGTATTACGATAATGATAAGCAGGTTTTGGATATTAGAATGCATGTTTTGCTAATGAGTGTTGCATAGTTTGCCATTGAAAAACTGTACTGAGCTCTATTAGAGATTCAGTAACCCAGTACATCATCAAACTGTGTCATTTGTTAATCCCAAATGACTTGCATAATACTAAAATCACTGATCTTAATGCAATTGACTAAAATACCCATTATTTTAGCATAAGTATACAGTAAGTACTGTAATTATGTACATGTATTTTCATAAATTCAAAAGTGGACTTACAGTGCCTTCAGAAAGTATTCACACCCCTTGACTTTTTCCAAGTTTTGTTGTGTTACAGCTTGAATTTAAAGTGGACTAAATTTAGATTTTTTTGGTCACTGGCCTACACACAATACTTCATAATGTCAAAGTGGAATTATGTTTTTCAAAATATTTACAAATGAAAAGCTGAAATGTTTTAAATTTTAGTCATTTAGCGGACGCTCTTATCCAGAGCGACTTACAGTTAGTGAGTGCAGACATTTTCATACTGTCTGTCTGAAATGTCTTCAGTCAATAAGTATTCAACCCCCTTGTTATGGCAAGCCTAAATAAGTTCAGGAGTAAAAATGTGCTTAACAAGTTGCATAATAAGTTGCACTTTGGATGGTGTATCAATACAACCAGTCACTACAAAGATACAGGCGTCCTTCCTAACTTAGTTGCTGGAGAGGAAGGAAACCACTGAGGGATTTCACCATGGGGCCGATGGTGACTTTAAAACAGTTACATGGTTTAATGGCTGTGATAGGAGGAAGCTGAGGATGGATCAACAACATTGTAGTTACTCCACAATGCTAATCTAATTGACAGAGTGAAATGAAGGAAGCCTGTACAGAATAGAAATATCCCAAAACATGCATCCTGTTTGCAGAAAGGCACTGAATACAAAGTGTTATGTTTAGGGCAAATCTAATACAACACATTACTGGTATTTGGTAGGTAGGTATTTTATTAGGATCCCGATTAGCTGTTGCAAAAGCAGCAGCTACTCTTCCTGGGGTCTGCACAAAACATGAAACATGACATAATACAGAACATTAATAGACAACAGCTCAAGGACAGAACTACATAAGTACCACTCTCCATATGTTCAAGCATAGTGGTGGCTGCATTATGGTATGGGTATACTTGTAATTATTGTTAAGGACTGGGGAGTTTTTCAGAATAAAAAAGAAACGGAATGGAGCTTAGCACTGCAAAAATCCTTGAGGAAAACCTGGTTTCAGTCTGCTTTCCACCAGACACTGGGAGATGAATTCACCTTTCAGCAGGACAATAACCTAATACACAAGGCCATATCTACGCTGGAGTTGCTTACCAAGAAGACTGTGAATGTTCCTGAGTGGCCGACTTAAATCTGCTTGAAAATCTATGGCAAGACCTGAAAATGGTTCAACAACCAATTTGGCAGAGCTTGAAGAATTCTGAAGAGAATAATGGGCAAATGTTGCAGAATCCAGGTGTGGAATGCTCTTAGAGACTTACCCAGAAAGACTTGCAGCTGTAATCGCTGCCAAAGGTGATTCTGTATTGACTCAGGGGTTTATTCTTTTAAAAATCAAGATACATTATATTAGTGTTTACATTTTTCATAAATGTTTTACAAATGTTCAAATTTTTCTTCCACTTTGACATTACAGAGTATTTTGTGTAGATTGTTGACACAAAATGACAATTTTGTAACACAACAAAATGTGGAAAAAGTAAAGGGGTGTGAATTGTGAAGGCACTGTAAGCATAAAAATATATATTTTTACAGGTAATTTCAGTGTATTAGGATGTGGATATGTGTGGTTCTAAGGTATTTTATATATATTTCTAAATTTTAATGGGATCCTATGGGCAAATGTTATCTTCTACTTTTATCCAAATAGGAACTGGCATCAGATTATGTTTGCAATTCTTCACAGTTATATTTACTGTACCCCAAAGCCATAATGTGGTACTAGCTAATAGCGATGTTAGTTTGAGAAAAGAAACATGCATCTACTGTGTGTCTATATTACCCCAGGCCAGGATTATCTTTTAAATAAGGCCCACGTCTTTTGACCTCAATGGGACAATCTGGTAAAATAAAGCTAAAATAAATAAAAAATATATATGAAAAAAGGACGAAACAATTTTTACAGCAATTTGTAGCCAACAGAGACCCTGTTGCGAAGATGCTGGGGCCTAGTTTTGCAACAGTGGAGGGGGAGGACAGCTCTGTAATGCGTCTCCTGGGGAAGGTAAAGGAGGGGGACCAGGCCAAGGAGGAACTGCTCATCCTATTACAGCAGCTGGGGACTCAACTCCTCAGCAACTCCCTCAAGCAGATCTCCCAGTGGCTTCCTTTCCTCCTCCTCACTCTGTCTGCTTCTCTATCTATCAATAATCAATCCATCTTAATACACACTGACTCCCACTTGACTTCAGACAAGTCCAAAGACATGGGGTTGACTCTGATTAGAAACAGTTTCTTACTAGATAGAAGAACCACACATGGGCCCAAGATTAATTATCTGTATTTGTTTTTGTAGTTTTTTTGTACAGGGAGGTTAGGCTCATTCCTGCCGCAGTGAAGAATGATGTCGAGCTGTTGAAACACTTCTGCAGTGAAGGGGAGAAAAGGGTGTTGAAGTCTGTTCAATACACATCAGGTTTGAGTTATCTTCACATTTCTCAATTTTTTTGGGGTGTGAATGAAAACGATTGCTATTAGGGGGTAATACTGGGATATTCCAAAAATATAAAATGTCTGTGTTCAACCCTCAAAAACATGGAAGTCATTATATATGTCAGATTTCAGTTTACTGAGACATGAATCAATTTTTTTTACTTGCCTTAGTCGGTGTGGCAGATTTGCAATGCCATAACAATTCAACTTTTGGCGGAAAACACACCTCCCCATACATACCACAGTACCACAGTGATAAATTCAGTCTTTTGAAAATGTGTCCACTTACGCAGAGGAAAATGTAAACCTTCTATGCAAGTAGCCTCCAACCTGTGATACTGGGCACATTAAAATATGGTGGTTTGTGTGTCACGATGCTCTGCGGCCTAGCTGTTTTCAAAGGATTATTTATCAGGGAGTGAAATCACAGCGAGCTCTAAGTAACCTGGGCTGCTGTCTTCAGACCTGGGCTATGTCCCAAATGGCAACCTATTCCCTATATTATACAATACTTTGGCCAGAGCCCTATGGGTCCTGGTCAAAAGTAGTGCACTCAATAGGGAATACGGTGCCATTTGGGATGCAGACTTGTGCTCTCTCTATGGTGGAGTGATCCGTCATCCACGCTGGCAGCTCAGGCACCCTCTATTTTTTTATTTATTTTTTGTCATTTTAGCAGACGCTCTTATCCAGAGCGATTTACAGTTAGTGAGTGCATACATTTTTCATACTGGCCCCCCATGGGAAACAAACCCACAACCCTGGCGTTGCAAGCGCCATGCTCTACCAACTGAGCTACAGGGGACATGATTTATCTTCCTGTGATGCTGCACTCTTTGAACCTGTATTGGAACTTTATTTTCCCCCTAATCCTCTCCTCCTACTTACACTACCGTGCAGAAGTTTGGGGTCAACAGTGAAGAGGCGACTCCGGGATGCTGACCTTCTAGGCAGAGTTGCAAAGAAAAAGCCATATCTCAGACTGGCCAATAAAAATAAAAGATTAAGATGGGCAGTCTGAGATATGGCTTTTTCTTTGCAACTCTGCCTAGAAGGTCAGCATCCCGGAGTCGCCTCTTCACTGTTGACGTTGAGACTGGTGTTTTGCAGGTATTATTTAATGAAGCTGCCAGTTGAGGACCTATGAGGCGCCTGTTTCTCAAACTAGACACTCTAATGTATATCTCCTCTTGCTCAGTTGTGCACCGGGGCCTCCCACTCCTCTTTCCACTCTGATGTATGACATCTTCAGTTTCTTGGCAATTTCTCGCATGGAATAGCCTTCATTTCTTAGAACAAGAATAGACTGATGAGTTTCCGAAGAAAGTTATTTGTTTTTGCCATTTTCAGCCTGTAATCGAACCCACAATTGCTGATGCTCCAGATACTCAACTAGTCTCAAGAAGGCCAGTTTTATTGCTTCTTTGAATCAGCACAACAGTTTTCAGCTGTGCTAACATAATTGCAAAAGGGTTTTCTAATGATCAATTAGCCTTTTAAAATGATAAACTTGGATTAGCAAACACAACGTGCCATTGGAACACAGGACTGATGGTTGCTGATAATGGGCCTCTGTACGCCTATGTAGATATTCCATTATAAATTAGCCATTTCCAGCTACAATAGCCATTTATAACATTAACAATGTCTACACTGTATTTCTGATCAATTTGATGTTATTTTAATGGACAAAAAAATTGCTTTTCTTTCGAAAACAAGGACATTTCTAAGTGACCCCAATCTTTTGAACGGTAGTGTACCTTAAAGGAAAACTCCACCCAATTAGTCCATGTTTCATTTGTTTCGTTAGTCCATTGTTGATATAGTCCCAAAATGTTTTGCATGCCACCAATCAAGTTTCCAAGATATAGAACTTTCAAAATACAGAAATACAGCTGGTATGATCCATTTTGCATTATATGATGCTGCATTTTGCATTATATGATGCAATATGCATCATACCGGCTGTATACCAAAATATAGTTTTTAGGTGGAATTTTCCTTTAAGGGAAAAATCACAATGTGACCTAATTCCCTATCGAGCACTATTGTATACTATTTTGATTAAAGTACATTGTACACTGAACTGACGTGCTCTGGTATCTTCTTCTTCTTATTATTATTATTTTTATGTAGATTATGAATTCACCAATGGCTGTCGCACTCCTCCTTGGAGGCAGGTACATGGTGAGATCTGCTACCTGGTGATAAAGCCGTGTGACACTCAACGCCTGCACATCACCTGTAGCACAGCTTGAGTCTTTCTCAATGGGGTAAGATAGCTAGAGATAGATTAGTATCACTGAATGTCAGTTTTCATTAAATTAATTTTAGTCAGCCGTGTTCTATACTCAGCATTAGATTTTCTTTCTGGTCTACAGGATGTGTTTTGTCATAAATGCTTTAGGCATCAATGGATGTAATAATCTACATATTTCAGCACATATGTTTATTTGGCAATTGTTATGAACAAGCACGGAAAGCTATACAATGTCTCCTTAATGATGTCCCATAAAGTTTCCAAAACATTAGGTAAGTGTCACTGAAAAGTTTAGTGATTTATGTACTGATGTAACGTTCATTGTATGGTCAGATTCCAAGTTTGCCCTGTGGTGTTAAACGTTTAAAACAACCCCATTGACCTTAACGTGTGTGCAATTAATAAAGAGAACATTTTACATGGCTCAGTGTCTTTCACTCCCTCCATCACTGCCTGCCTGCCCGAGTTAGTACGTTTCCCGTCTCCCTTTCCTCACCTAGAAATGGTTCAGTTCAGGACACTGAAACCCGTGTTCCAACATGTTTGACATTGATGGTATATTAACACAAATGAAACCTCAAAGATTACAGAGTTTAACATAATGTGTGTAGTGGTTAGATGCGGTGCACACTGGTTTTGAATTCCAGCCTGTGAAGCTGCGTTTTGATACCTTGGCACTCTAACCTCAGTTGTTCTGACAGATGGTAATACTGTAATATTGATTTGATACATCAAATGTCATCTTTGTCTTGACAGGGCATAAGCCAGAAGAGTGAGGAAAATGCCTGTGACAGAACAAGCGATGTTTACAAAGACCTGGTAACACTGCTGAAAAGCAAGTCTCCCCATTTTGCTGAGAACATAAATAAACAGGTAGGTTTTGACATGGAGGAGCAGCATCTCAAACAACAGGTTGCTGTTTTCTCTGAGTAATATTTGCTCTGTCGGTAACCCTATGAAGCAGTATGCATTTGACTGATTATAGATGATATTCTGTTATACGTAGTATAGTGAGTTTAAGATTGTGAATCAGTGTCTGCACTCGTCCTCACTTGTGAGCTAGTGTCTGGTTGTCACATTGAAACGAAAACTCTCTGAAGCTGTAGCCTCGCTACCTAACCTTACTTTCCAAATCACCCCAGTTGAAAAGAATTTAAAAAAACAAAAGAAACAGTCGTTACTCACACAGACAGAATCATGTGTTGCTCTGAAATGCCAGTGATTCATTCAGTAGTGCTGTTTCCTGCTTAAGTGATTTGATGAATTAACAAATAATGGCTTCAAGCTTTGGTGGGAAAAAATGTGTTTATAGTCTGAATATGTGGACATATGTTTTGTCTTGAGTGACTCAATAATGTATTGTTGGAAAATGTTGTATAATTTACAGGCAAGCTAGCTATACAGATACACTTTGTACACAGTATTTATACTCTAGGAAATGACTCCAAATGTTTCATATAATTGATATAATTATATTGATATCTATATTTGTTCTATTTATTAGTTTCCTTTTGTCTATTTGGAAAGGCTTATGGGTAAGCTAGTTACAACAAATAGTGTACCGAAACTATTAATAGTATTTTTCCACTTTACATCGTTCATTTCTGTTAGCAAAGACTATTATCAATGTTGCTCCTGATGATTTATCCTGGGCTGCTTTATGATCACGATAATTCTGTACTTGAGTTACTGAAACAGAAATGTGAAATGTGATTATTAAGACTGATTTCCTTTTACCCCTTTCTGCAAGTCTTTCTCTTTTAAATAAATTAAGAGATGTTATCACAATAATATAGTTTGCAGGTATAAAGTGGGGCGAACAATAATATATTTAGTCTATTCCACCACAATTTCAGGAACTGGTAAGTGAGTGCTTGCTTTATGGAAAATAGCTCAAGAGAAAGGAAATGTCTTCTTTGACGTACAAGAGTTGTCTGAAGTACGATCTTAATGTATAATCCATGGATGTTACAGACACATTTACATTATATTACTGCAGTGGCCTATAACAACCATTGTTCTACCCAATTTTAAATAATGACATTATTAATGAAAAAGAGCCACCTCATCATTACTTTCAATTGAATTGTGCTTGACCAGTCAGTGTGACTTATTTATAGCTGGTGATAGAACTTTTAGTGCCACAGAGACGGGTTGAGTTGAGTGGCGGCTAAGTGAGGGATGTATAAACCCCAATGAGCAGTGCCAGGCTGCTGCGCTCACTGTGTAAAAAGGCCATCCAGGCTTTAATGTTTTATGAGTCCTGTGTATGTGCTGAGTGTCGGTCGTTCTGAGGATGATGGACAGTAGGCCGTAAAACACTACTGTGAATGAGTTTGCTGAGATACAAATCAAGTCACAGGTTTTCTCTGCATACTTCTTTCTCCTATGAAGTTACTACAGTAATGTCCAAAACATGGCATGGTGATGTAAGGGAGTGTTCTGCACTCAAATCAGGCCATGTTTTTCTGGCCTTTTTACGCCCCACCAAACTATTTTCCCTCTGCATTACTTAAAGTACACCTCTTATGTGTGAAAGGGTCAGCTTGACTCAGCAGTGACTGCTGATTTGATTGCAGATAAAGGCATTTTCTATTGATTGACAATATAATTGTTATGGTGCAACAGGCACTCCAGTACAGTACTGTATAAACCTTTTCAGACATAGAGTAATAAAGTAATTGCACTCACTCTTGAGGAGAAGATCCCTTCCCAGTGGCCAATGAAAGGAATAGGCTCTAGTCCGTGTCAGGTCAGAAACACTATCTGAAATAGCTCCGGCTGGGGGACCCGCTCTCTGATTGCAGCGCTAAGAGGCCAAAGTGGTGGTGTTCCAAGTCAACATGAAGCATGGCAGGTTGATAGCCAAAGATAACAACACCAATCTCTGAACAAGATCTACTCGTTTCCAGCGTCGAGGAAGCAGATTATTTTTCACAGTTTTATTAGATCAGACATTCTCAATCAAATAAGCAAGAGGCAGCCAGAGGAGAAGAGTGCAGCACCAGGGACACACACCGCAGTCCGATACTCAACTTCTCAGTGTAGTGTTGGACTGACTCGTTTTTGAAACTACAACATGATTATAAATTGGACATGGTGTCGTCTGTGTGTTATGCATGCATGATCACACGCAAAAATGCAAACGCACCCTCAGAATGTTGTTATTCAAATCCTGAAATCAATCTAGCTCTGCTGTCATGTTCACTCCACACGGAGCCTCGCACAGCTATTCCACTGACAGCTACTATTTAGCTTATTTTCCATCACTGTATGGAGAAAGTAATTAGATACAATGGATACAAGTCCAATAAACATGTGCAAATATTTGGAGTCTCGGGTCTCTCAGTGAGGGCTTGGAACAAGGCACAAGTGGAGAAAGATGAATAGTGCCAATGTAATGATTTGGAAGTCGCCTGTGGTAAAAAAAAAAAAAAATGTGTTGCAGGCAGGCGTCAGACCTGCTTAAAGTGTCTGTGCACTTGTTTGCTGGCCCTCTAACTGCTCTGACAGAGCCGTCCCTGTGCTGTGCTATTTATGTTTGCTGCTGTAGCGTGCTATAGAGTTTGGCATGTTTCCTTCTGTCCATTTCAGGTATCATAAAAAAGAGGAAAGGTTGGACACCTGAAATGCAGCCATGGTGGACTGAATTGGCCTGCATTGTTCCAACAGCAGGTCACTTAGGGTTTTATGACAAACAAGCCGGTTTGGAAAGTGACGGAGCGTGCTTGGCAGAAGCGGATGAACACAGCCATAGCATTCCATGTTAATTATCCCCCCCCCTTTTACTTTAAAAAAATGTCCCCAACAATTTTGATTATTGAGAGCAATGGCAGTCCGAGGCGAGCTATTTTCTGCCTAGCAGGTGCCTGTGATTTTTTAAAAAAACGTTCCCTGCCTGCAAACCATTCATATGTGTCTTGTTGGCATTCTTATGTTAGGTTGTAAAGTTGTGTAAAAAGACCTTCAAAAACGTCAAAATCATCTCTGAATAACAGTGACACAAAGGCTCTCCTTTCTCTGAGCCAAGCTGCAAGGTTTTAGCGCGAGGAATGTAAAGAAACAATAAACGTTTGATATTGTTCAGCCAATTAATAGAGGGGAACCTCTTCTGTGTAGTAAAGCACTGGGAATGTGTTATTTTATTCCTGTCGCTCAATAATAAAGGCTGAATTGTTATTCTGCTGCAGTAGGGAATGTTGAGAAAGTTGTGTTTTATTAAGAACCATAGTTTATATATGGTTCTTCTTGGGCTGAGAATAATTGAACTGCACCCTTTCAGACACCAGTGTGTGATGTGTCTATCAAATAACGGAATAAGGAGGCAACATGTCAGATGTAGAATGGAAAATATGCGTTATAACTTGAAAAAATCACAAAAGGACCGAATACTTTGTTAAAAGAACAATCATTCAGAGGAATAACTTTTTTAACGACCCAAGTCCATATAATTTTACGACCCGAATTTATTGTATATTTCAGTGCTAGCATTTCGGTGCAAATTGAGAGGTCATTTTTCCTCACTTCTTTTTTTCCTCAACAGGATTTTGCCGTTAAAGAAGAACCTCCATCAACACAAAAGATCCAACATGTGGAATCGGTTGATACAGAGGAACAAGGCCAACCCCAGAGGTCTTACGAGCATCAGGAAAATAATGTGCATGAGAAGGCGAGACAACAGCTTGTGCAGAACAAGCCAGGCGTAAAAAAAACTATTAGACCCATCTTTGAAATGGAAGAACCTCGGTCTTGAATCTCCATATGAGTATGTGATAATTTCACTCCATATATTAGAAGTCTTTGAAATATTTGCAACGCTACCAGGTTCAGTATGTGGCGGGAACTTTCTGTTCCAATAGATGAGATTTTAAGAAGGGAGTGATGCTGGAGTCGCGCACTCCACTGGCTGCATGTGTCTTAGTGTGTCTTCTCCACATGCCAGCAGTCACACATTATAAAGAGATGGTTCATATGGCTTATACATTTTAGGGCAAGCACAAAAATTCCTGATTATATGGACGATCCCAGTTAATCGATGTGTTCACTGCTTGGAACCCCTCTGCACAATTACAGACAGAAAACTTGGCCGTGGGAGTAACATTCACAAAAAGTATCTATCACATATGTTATTTGATTGATAAATAGATCTAGCAGGGGTTTTAGCTGTAACTTGTGATAAGTGTCCCAATTTTGAGAGGCAACTGGCTCCAGATAAAAGCTGTAAAACGGCAACAAAAAAAGCCTCAAATCCCTGCATCCCTCTTCTCTCCCTCAATGCATAAATGATGATGATATGTTACGATAAATAACTATTTCCAAAATAGAAAAACGGATAATGATGTCGCCCTCTTATTTTATTTCATTTTTCTAGGGAAGCAAATGAGAAGAAATCCAAAAGAAGTGCAGCAAATGAGAAGTTTGCCGAGACGGAGGAGAAGATGCAGAAGAAGGCAGATTTCTCTGTGTCCTCCTCACCTGGTCGGCAGTACTCTCATAAAACGTAAGTCACCTGGTGGGGTTTTCTCCTCACACTTCATGAATGAGGAACCATTCGAGTTCTACAGAAGAGCAAGCAGCTTACAGGAAGGAGATTGCTGAAGTCACAGAAAAAGATTGGCACAACTCTTTGACCCGTGGTTATAGTTTCTGTGGAAACTGATGTGTTTTTATATAAGCCAATGTATGGGTCTAATGTACACTTTCCCTGCCTTTCCTATGGCGCCTGGCAGCAAGGTTTCTAGCTGTCCCCATAATTGTGACTGCCAGTGTATACAGGTCCGCTAGTAAAGTTACTGGGTCGACTCTAGCCACTGTTCTGCTGATAGCTTCTCCCCGCCTTGCACCAGTGAAATTTGGTACATGTACAGAAGGGGACCATTGGGAGCATACTAATGTTACTCCAGGCCAGTAGTCATAGGAGACACATCGGAACAGCGCGTCACTGCTTAATTAAGGCTTGGTTCAGTGTTTATCATGGCCCGTCTGCGTTGCCTGGGAAACGATCATATCGGCTGATTTCCTCTGATAATGGCCTCCGCTGGAAATGCTATCTGTGTACATAGGAACCGTCTCCCCGCGGCCCCATTTGAACATATACCAAATTGCATTGCTCCGCGCTGCGCAGTTTTTATTTTTGAGTTATTTGAGTGGCGCAACTGACTTTAAAAGCCATCTGCATTTCTGTTTGCGTGTATGGAATGAAGACTACGGTAGAGAAAGAGAGACCTGCTCTGTGTAGTATGATGACGATGCCAGTTTCCCCATTACTTTAGTCCCTCTCTATGCCTGGCTGCTGCTGCTTAGATTTTGAGAAAGTTCAAACCTGACAATTCCGGTTAACTTTAGATTGTTAATGGTGCTTGTTGTATAGAATAATCTCGCAGTTATTTTAAATGACAAAAGGAAAACCTCATATTTTGTTATGTGTATCATATACTGATATAATATTTAAAGTTTAAACCCATCCTGTGTATGGATATGTACTTGTGTAGTTGTTACACAAAACTTGCTGTTGATTCTTATCTCCTGCAGTGTCTGTGTTCTTCAGTAAGACCCCAGGAGGAGGCGCCGATGACTTCAGCGAGAGTTCATCTGAGAGTGAGGAGGATGAGGAGCAGCCAGAGCGCCGTCCGGAGAGCAACACAGACCTGCCCTCTGAGTACTGGCAGATTCAGAAACTGGTCAAGTACCTCAAGGTACAGTACAGTAAAGCCTGTAGAAGCCCAGCCCTCTGCTTTGGGAATTTCACTGAAAATAAGTTGTTCTGTTCTGTTGAAAACATACTATTCTAGCAGGCCAGGCAGTTCACAATGGACAGGAAACAGTAAAATCCAGGTCATTTTCCTGTGATCCATATAGTAATTTTGATGCAGACTTGAGTCAATATTCAAACTTCTTGAAATGGTCAAAAAAAAGTAATGCCTTTAAGGTATGGCTCTGTATCTGTAGAATTGTGATAGTCACAATAGTCCTAATGTCACCTGAGAGGGAACAATATGTAATCTCCTTAACATAATTCCACCTGCCTGTTTGCGTACATTTTATGACATCAAGTTGTCGATCAATATAACAAACTGACGTTAGATAAAAAAGTATATATAATGTGCTCCTGTTTTAAAGCGTCTGCTTTGTAGTAGGATGTTTATAGAAGTGGTTGGCCTGGGTTTGTGGATTCCTGGTTTCTGACACACACTAGGCCTGTTTGGGTGCACGTGTGAGCCAACCCATATGAGAGAAGAGAGCAGAGCTGTCTAAAAACAGCAGCTGGGCACACTGTTTACACACACCACAGAGCATAAATGAAACGCTGCTCTGAAAGGTCTGACAGTGCATATAGTGAATATTAATGTGTCAAAACACAAAAGGAAAAGAGAGAGAGGACCAAAGCGCCAGTGACCCAGACTGACTGGGAATACCTCCTTCCACAGCCTGATTTGAGAGGAATTCTCCCCTCTCTCTCTTGCTCTGTGGTTACCGGTCAGTTTATTTGGACTTGTGCATAGATACCGTTTAGGGCCATGACATGGTGTAACTGCAATCATATGATATTATGGTTAGTCATATATTGCAAATCTGGCCCATATACCTTAATGATAATCATAACCTAATCTCTCCACTTTGAGTCTCGATATACAGTATAGTAATTTACAAAATTAACTGACATTCAAATGTGTGTATTGTTTTGGTACTAATTAAATCGATTTACGGTATAGTAATGAAATATGAATTACATTATTTCGTATCTCTATGATCTATGACTATTAAATATTAGCAGAAGCTTTGTAAGCTGAGATACAGTATTTGGCTCTGTCCATGTTTTTACATACTGTACTGCAATTGGGCCCCCCAAATACGATCATTCATAGGGCAACTGGTGGTAAATCTTTTAAAGAAAACATTCAAGCAAAGTTCAGTTCCAGGTAGATATTTTTAGCTTAACAAAACATGAGATAATGAATGAAAATTCCTTCTTAGGAAAGAGCAGTTACTCTCCTTTCCAAAACAGATTTAAAATGTAAATTATATATAAAAAGAAGCTGGGCCAATGTCTGATAAGGGAACTTTCAAATTTCGTTATGTTTGTATATGTTAAACTTTTCAGTGGGGATTGGAGTGAATTCGTAGTGAGAGTTTGTGCTTTCAACAAGATGCATTTGTAAACCTGTACTTCCTAGGCAGCATTCTATCTGTCTGGAAACCACACAGTGGAGTTATTTATGGGGTTTGTCCAGTAGTCATTTTATAATATCATTACCATCAGAAGCTAAAACTAACCCTGAGCCAAGTTAAATATCTGTTTTATTTTAGAAGTAAGAAAAGTTTTTTTCTACTTCTTCTCAGCCGTATAGACAAACATTTGTACTTGAGGAAGATTGAGACTTTCATAAAGCTACACATGAATGATCTGTGTTGTGTTTAATGGGTTATTTATCTAAGGATATTTACCCAGGGTGCTAATATGTGTGCCTACACTGCATGTGTTTAAATAAGTATGTCTTAAAGGGGCAATCTGCAATAACAAAGTATACATCCCACCACTATTGAGAGATGGGGCTGAAAAAATGTAAGCACTCTCAAATTAATTGACAGAGCTATAGATGCAGGACTGACCATCTATGATAGTTTTAACCATGTTTTGAGGCTATACAGTGATAGTTTACAATTACATTGTTTACAAACAAAGAAGTAAAACAAGCTTATATTTTGGGTTCTGATGGGGTTAGACAGTTGAACTAAGCTCATGGGGCATTTATAAAGTATACTTGTTAAGAATCAATGGCTATATATCATGAATGTAAAAGTCCTAAAATGTATTTAGCAATCGCAGATTGCCCCTTTAACATACTAATATGTGTGCCTGTGAATACACATACAATATGCCATCTAATGAGTTATGATTTTGCTTGCTGAAATGATGTTATAATGATGTTAACATGTTGCTTGCCGCAATGACTTAAACACTTTAGATGAGGCTTGTGTGTATGTAAACAGTTGTTTTTGTGGCAAGAAACAAGGCATGCCGGCAATACAGTATATTTAGAAACAAGCCTATACGGTCGGTATTCTCTCTTTGTGCAGATTGAAGAACACACAGTATAGTTTACATATACAGTGAGGGAAAAAAGTATTTGATCCCCTGCTGATTTTGTACGTTTGCCCACTGACAAAGAAATGATCAGTCTATAATTTTAATGGTAGGTTTATTTGAACAGTGAGAGACAGAATAACAACAACAAAATCCAGAAAAACGCAGGTCAAAAATGTTTTAAATTGATTTGCATTTTAATGAGGGAAATAAGTATTTGACCCCCTCTCAATCAGAAAGATTTCTGGCTCCCAGGTGTCTTTTATACAGGTAACGAGCTGAGATTAGTAGCACACTCTTAAAGGGAGTGCTCCTAATCTCAGCTTGTTACCTGTATAAAAGACACCTGTCCACAGAAGCAATCAATCAATCAGATTCCAAACTCTCCACCATGGCCAAGACCAAAGAGCTCTCCAAGGATGTCAGGGACAAGATTGTAGACCTACACAAGGCTGGAATGGGCTACAAGACCATCGCCAAGCAGCTTGGTGAGAAGGTGACAACAGTTGGTGCGATTATTCGCAAATGGAAGAAACACAAAATAACTGTCAATCTCCGTCGGCCTGGGGCTCCATGCAAGATCTCATCTCGTGGAGTTGCAATGATTATGAGAACGGTGAGGAATCAGCCCAGAACTACACGGGAGGATCTTGTCAATGATCTCAAGGCAGCTGGGACCATAGTCACCAAGAAAACAATTGGTAACACACTACGCCGTGAAGGACTGAAATCCTGCAGCGCCCGCAAGGTCCCCCTGCTCAATAAAGCACATATACAGGCCCGTCTGAAGTTTGCCAATGAACATCTGAATGATTCAGAGGAGAACTGGGTGAAAGTGTTGTGGTCAGATGTGACCAAAATCGAGCTATTTGGCATCAACTCAACTCGCCGTGTTTGGAGGAGGAGGAATGCTGCCTATGACCCCAAGAACACCATCCCCACCGTCAGACATGGAGGTGGAAACATTATGCTTTGGGGGTGTTTTTCTACTAAGGGGACAGGACAACTTCACTGCATCAAAGGGACGATGGACGGGGCCATGTACCATCAAATCTTGGGTGAGAACCTCCTTCCGTCAGCCAGGGCATTGAAAATGGGTCGTGGATGGGTTTTCCAGCATGACAATGACCCAAAACACACGGCCAAGGCAACAAAGGAGTGGCTCAAGAAGAAGCACATTAAGGTCCTGGAGTGGCCTAGCCAGTCTCCAGACCTTAATCCCATAGAAAATCTGTGGAGGGAGCTGAAGGTTCGAGTTGCCAAACGTCAGACTCGAAACCTTAATGACTTGGAGAATATCTGCAAAGAGGAGTGGAACAAAATCCCTCCTGAGATGTGTGCAAACCTGGTGACCAACTACAAGAAACGTCTGACCTCTGTGATTACCAACAAGGGTTTTGCCACCAAGTACTAAGTCATGTTTTGCAGAGGGGTCAAATACGTATTTCCCTCATTAAAATGCAAATCAATTCATACAATTTTTGACATGCGTTTATCTGGATTTTTTTGTTGTTATTCTGTCTCTCACTGTTCAAATAAACCTACCATTAAAATTATAGACTGATCATGTCTTTGTCAGTGGGCAAACGTACAAAATCAGCTGGGGATCAAATACTTTTTTCCCTCACTGTATGCTACATACCACGTAATTGCCATCAATATGCACTGTAGGTAACCACAGGGTATTTGTTTTACAAGCTGAAGCCACTGCTTCATTATCTAGAATTAGATATATATGGCAACTTAACAGTGATACATTCAGTATGCTTTCAGCGTAGCTGCTACCAATTACCCTACTTTGTGCTCTGCTGTTTTTGATAAAGTGTTGCTGGTGATTGTAAGTGGCTTATGTGAAAAAACGATGTATATTTAGGTGCCAACATTGTTAACAACTTTATTACTTACCAAACCACACTCAAAGGTTGTGTACTGTGTAAGTGTTTACCTAGAATGTGGTCATTTTTATTGCATAGGTGGCTTCATAATTTAACTATCACATAATAACACATTAGATTATCCCTTATTTCTGCCTAATAGATTTGTATATTTAAGCATGAGGATATGTCCTTAGTTTATAGAAGCATATATTAATGAGATTATATTTTGTTTTATGTCCTGAGGTAAAGTAACTGATAGTCCCTTTCAATGTAAAGTGACTGATAGATGTGGTATACATACAGTCAATCATTTTTTATAATAAAACAATATAATTGTTATGTGTTAATTAATTTCCAAGTAAAATGTAAGATGTTGCATAGAGCAAGGTAATATAAGTAGGTGTCATGATTGCCACACCCGGGTAATGAGAGGGGTCCCACGTCCATCCATGATGACACTTTGTTTAACCCTTGTTGACGTTGTCCACCCTCAGCTGGTCAGTAGTGGAAATACAGGCCCCATGTTCTCTCAGGAGAACACTTTTCCTAATTACCTCATGTTCTCCTGCCGTGTGAAAGAGCCAGGGTCAGTCACTACCCTCACATTAACTTAATAGAGTGAAACATTATTTCCAATGAATTAGGTGTTTCACAGCTTTGAACTGACTATTCAGCTCTGTTAACATGTTATAAAGACCTTTTTCAGAAATAGATTCTTAAGTACCAGAAAAAATCTAACTGTTGATTGGAAGCCTTAGACTAAAAGGCTAAATATAAATACAACACACATCAGTTTGAACAATTATTTTGGAAACTCAGAGAAATTAAATAGCCTACTCATACTCATCCACCAGACAAAGTAATGTTCACTATGAATACTGTAACTTATGTCTAGAGAATGTTTTACAGAACGTCTGTACATATTTCCATACTTTTTAAATTAAGCAACTTTTTAGTGACACAAAATACCACAAAACATTTGGACGCCTGACACAAACTGTATTATTTCACTAGCCGCTACAAGACAGCAGGGCCAGTCATATGCTCAACATTTTATTTTATAGAAGATCCTATGTCCAATATGAAGTAAGAGAGAACCACCAATCATTCTTTCCCTATTCGTTACCCATAATGTACTTGGCAGTAGGCTCAGTCTTTTTTTCTTTTCTTCATCTGTACCCTACATGGCTAGTCTGCTCCAGAAACGGCAGAAGAGAAAAACCACATGCACCCTCCAGGATGCGGCCCCTGCCAAGCTGGTTGCTTCTTTCTTACACCGACTGAGGTCGATGAACACAGACAGGAGAAACACAGACAGTGGCTTCATTCCACCTGTCATAGATCCAGCTCTGTGGGGGCATGCACACATACACACACACACACACACACACACACACACACACACACACACACACACACACACACACACACACACACACACACACACACACACACACACACACACACACATGCCCAGGTTATTACCTTGCTGTTTGGAAGAGTTGTATCAAGCAGTGAAAGTTTCAGCCAGATTTCAGTTTTTTTGGTGGTGAACAATTACACAGGGAGACAAACGTTTTTTAAATATTTTTTTTAATGGGTGATATCAGGTTAACCCCTTTAATGAAATGTGATCCCTTATAGTGTTTTATTGCGTAAATCAGTTGTTGATTCCATAATCTTATTGGATAGGTAGATACATCTTTTATACAATGGTCTTTTTAATTTAGCTGAGTTGCTGATTAATGATGATCATCCGCCCTGCGTGTCTGGTGTGAATTCCAGAGCGACATTAACACGTAAATTCCCTTTATGTGATGTCTGCTTCCCAGGGCACTTCTTAGTGCTTAGTGTGCCCTTGAGGAAGCCTAATTTACTCCAGGGGCGGGGTACTGCTATGGCTGACCCTGTAAAACAACACATTTCACAGCACCTATCCGGTGTATGTGACAATAAAACATATACATATATATATATTTGTGCTTAGTGCCTGTTGCACTTGCTCTGTTTGTAATGTAGGTGTCTGGATTAAAGGACCATAATAAATGCTTGTTTTATATATTGGTAATACATTTATCAGATCATGAGAGTTTATGAATCTCCTTCATTCTTTCCCTACTTTGTAATGTGCGATATTTAAATATATTTTTCCTCTGGATGTAATTTATGAGGACATTTAGAAATTGCTATTGTTATTGCAAAATGTCTTGAGCAGTGGGTCCCTCCCCCCGGGTCATAAGAAAGAGGTGTTCACCTCGGTTTAACTACTCAAAACAAAACACATAGCAGCCTAACCCCTGCAGTCTTCTCTGTATCCCCCTAAGTGTAAATCTATGCAGTATTGTTGTCTGTGGCGAATCACAAATGCCCCAAAGTCACATAAATACTGTAGAAAAATGTTGTCTCATCATGTTATGTAAACCCCAGTCATTAGTTGTGTTTACAGTTTTTTTCATGTGTCTTTCATAAGCTGTAGTCTTTAGATGTAGACAGAGGTTGCTTCCCAAATCCCCAAATAGGGCTCTGGCCAAAAGTAGTGTCCTATATAGGGAATAGGGTGCGATTTGGGATGCACTCAGACAGATAGTGTTTGAGTTGTAGGCTGCCCCCTCTGGCTGCGCATCTGCCCCTATCATGCTATCTGGAGGAGAGTCCATCATAAAAGATTGTCAGATGTTGTCAATGTTTTAAAGAATGTCTACAATACTTCTAGACCAAAGCTAACAAAAATGGAAGCATATGATCTTTTCTCTCTGGTATCAGTTATAAACATAGCGTTTTGTTTTTAAAAGGTATGATCCTAGCCCCACTGAATCCTTTGAAGAGGAAGAAGTGGTGGTGGAGAGAAAAAAGAAGCAGTAGATCCACTGCTGTTACTAGATGAATGGTTCACATTTAGGCCAACGTCATAATATGGGGAACACATGTGCCCGTTATCCCACTCCCAAAAGTGTGTCAGGCTACCTCTTTTTGGGGGGTGAACGATTTGATCAAACAACTGCTTCATATCACGGTACACCCTGATACAGTACATTCTGATATAACTGTACCCCCAAAACATGAACTGCGTAGACCATACTGTGTTATTTATAGTTAAACATGTTCTATATTTTCACTTTAAAGAACTCTCTCTCACATTGATACGTTCATTACATAAGAGGTTCGAGTCTCCTCTGCGTGGGTAGAGTAATCTGTTTGGGATGGTCCTGAGGCTGAGATGTTTATGAAGTGTGCAACTAATAAAAGCAACTAGATTTTTTTCCAGGTCTATCTGGGGTTCATTTAAAAACAGAACTGAAAGAAAAAAAGCAGAAAAAAATGAGAAATAATTAAACAATAACATTTTGATTGTTCACTTGCCAGGAGATTTTGACTTCAGGATGCCGTGTCACATTTCAAAGTCATGTAACACATCTAGTATTACACCAGCTTACTTCTGTATTTTCTACCTAATGTGTGGAACTTCTGTTTCCATCTGCCATCAGATGGTTTTATTCCATCATGGTCTGAACCATTTGACATTAACAAAAGATACACTGCAACTTCAAGTACCTCGGTTTCCAAATCACTAAGAACTTAAAATGGTCCACACACGTGCCCACAGTCGCGAAGAAGGCGTGACAGCGCCTCTTCCCCCTCAGGAGGTTGAAAAAGTTTGGCATGGGCCCTCAAAAAGTTATACAGCTGCACCATTGAGAGCATCTTAACTGGCTGCATCACTGCGTGGTATGGCAACAGCACTGCCCTCGATCGCATGGCGCTACAGAGGGTGGAGCGGACAGCCCAGTACATCACTGGGGCTATGTTCCCTGCCATCCAGGACCTCTATACCAGGTGGTGTGAAAGGAAGGCCTGGAAAATCGTCAAAGACTCCAGCCACCCAAGCCATGGGCTGTTCTCTCTGCTGCCGCATGGGAAGCAGTACCGGTGCATCAAGTCTGACACCAACAGCTCCTTAACAACTTCTATCCCCAAGCTATAAGACTACTAAATAGCTAACAAAATGGATACACAGACTGAGTTGACTCTTCATTTTTATTTTTGCACTGTCTCTATGTACACTCTAAGGACTCTACAAATTGACGCACACGGACACTGCAACACACACGCATAACATGCACACATTTATACTGACTCTAGTCATTCTACACACACTCACATTCAACCATCATTTACGCTGCTGCTACTCTGTTTATCATACACCCTGTTGCCTAGTCACCTTGTCCCCCCCTACAAATATTGGAAATATTGGAAATTACCCTGTATATAACTTCTTCTTTTCTTGTGTTCTTCTTATTTCTTATTTTTATTTATCGTGTGTTTATTGATTGATTATTGCATTGTTGGGTTTAGGGCTTGCAAGAAAACAAATCACTGTACTTGTGCACGTGACATTAAAACTCAATACACTGCAACAAAAAAAACACAATACAGACTAAAAAGTATCTGAGAATGGCAATTGTTGCTCATCAGATAGGTCAGAGAATGGCCCCAAGTCACCTGTTTTACATTTGACATTGTTTTGTATGTTGCACTTAAGAAGCAATAAACCTAAATCTGCTCAATATCCTGTTCCCATATATTGAGGCACTTGTAGTGAAATCAAAGAACAGATTTTCTACTCCCAAACCACTTGTTTGCTTAGTAGTAGTTACTAAGTAGCTAATTGGGTAGAAACAAGCCTTGAGTTATTGTGTGTGTGTATAGCAACTGTCAAAACAGAGTCTTTTGAAGTGCTTACTCATTATTATGTTCATCATTTCAATGCTCATTTTTCTCTTTAATCTCTAACTTAAGTCATTGTCTATGGTTTTCTGGCTGCAGGCAGCTTAGTAGTCAGAGTGCCATTCTGTATCCAATAGTTTCTCTCTACCAGTGTTTACCGTCACAAAGCTAAACACTTACCAAACTGTGGTAAACAAAATAACCACAACAGGCATGATACAATTTGATTTTATTTGATTTTATTAAAGCCAAGGAGAGAGAGAAAAAAAAGACGGGGAGAAAAGTACAGCAGGAGGGGAGACGCTGTGTTTTCCCTTTTCTAAATGTCTCTTTAATTCTCTTTTCTCTGTCTGCGGTTTCATTCATTCATTCATTGGTGCCTTGTTTTCATTATTATTTCAGGGAGGCAACCAGACGGCCACTGTGATTGCTCTGTGCTCCATTAGGGACTTTAATTTAGCCCAGGAGACGTGCCAACTGGCCATCCGGGATGTAGGTGGCCTTGAAGTCCTCATTAACTTGCTGGATACATAAGAAATCAAATTCAAAGTGAGTAGCCCTCCCAGTCTCAGTCCCTGCTCCCTGCCAATCGGACCTGGTTGCCCGCGGGGGGAACAGAGCTGTGCTGTGTGTGGCAGCCTAGTGTTTCAGATACAAAGAGTATACTGACTGTAGGCCTGGGAAGGCAGGCCCGCTGCCTTTAAGGACACAGTGTATCAATTAGACTCCAATAGACCTAATGAGATGTGTGGGTGCTTTTTATACCGCATGCCTTTATGTTGAAACTCTTTAGTAACTGCTGTCTATTTTTACAGGGGCACGTTTTGGGGGTTTACATAATGCTCTTTATTTGTGCTCCAGTTGACAGATGTGTACCTCATGTTGTTGGCATTGGCTTCACAGTTTTTCTTAATATAGGCCCCAAAAATGTTTTCTTGATTTAAGGAGATATACTTTGTTGACTTATCATCTGTGTGTTTGATTTAGATTGGCTCTCTGAAGATTCTGAAGGAGATCCGTTGTAACAGTCAGATCCGCCGGGCTATTGCTGACTTAGGGGGTCTGCAGATCATGGTGAAGATCTTGGACTCCCCAGACAAGGATCTGAAATATCTGGCCACAGAGACCATCGCCAACGTGGCCAAGTTCCGATGGGCCAGGAGGACAGTCAGACAGCACGGAGGAATCAAGAGACTGGTGAGTATGGTTGGAAGATACATACTGTACTATACTGTAGCACAGTAAAGCATAGCCTTGCAAAAGGGAACATAATAATAATGTCATTTAGACAGACGCTTTTATCCAAAGAGACTTACACAACTGTCGGCATTGACAGTGACACATAAATATATGTGTATGTGTGACCGGTGCGGGAATTGAACCCACAGCTCTGCTGCTGTTGCCAGTAGCATGCTCTAACTAACCCATTACAGAGCCAATTTGGAATCACATACTGTACTGTAGCACAGCAAAGCACAAACTTGCACAACATAGGCCGACCCGGCACAGCACTACACAGAATAACTCCCCCACTACACACCAACACACAGCACAGCCCAACCCAACTCGGCTCTGTTTCAAAACACAGCACAGCAACACACACCTCCTCACAGTACTGGCTCTTCTAGCTACCTTGAGTTTCCATACACTAAGTTCTCTGATAGTCCTCACCCCCCATTCCCCCTTTCCTTGGTCTCATGTGACAAACATCAAAGTCAGTCAGGGGGAAACAGATAGAATGTCCTTTGACATCCTCGGACCTGAGTTTATGTTTATTGACAGAGCGGCATGTGATTAAAGCCTGTGGGCCTTGTATATTTATTGTGAAGTACCAAATCGGATGTGCTCATTGCAGTCATTGCAGAGGAGTGATTAATTTCACGCTAAACTACAGACTGAGACCACCTTTGAACTGCATAACATGTGTAATAGCTTTGCCTGCTCTGTGTCAGTGGCCGTACAGGAACTATGGATTAACACAGCCCTGACACACAGACTGACGGTCATAAAGGGTACCTCTGGGATTTCAACATCGTAACATCAACACGCAGACCTGCTGTTTTTCCACATTCTGAATCTCTTTTTTAAATTATATCAGACCCCACGGTAATATAATTTAATTATGCACCTAATCATGGCCAACAACTTTGCTATTCTCGTTTAATACATTGCGCAAATGGAAACCACAGCTATCATTACAGCATCTCCTGTGGATTTCACATTCACTGAACAAATCCGACATTACTTTTCTAATGTCTGATATAAATTGTATTTGATACACACTGGATCATCGAGTGTGATTTGATTTGTGTGTTGTGCTCTGCGTGTGTGCATGTTCTGTGTGTGTGTGTGTATGTGTGTGTGTCTATGTATGTGTGTGTGTGTCTGTGTGGGTATGTGTGTGTGTATGTGTGTGTGTGTATGTGTGCATGTCTGTCTCTGTGTATGTGTTCCCAGGTGGATTTACTAGACTGCATGCCTGACTCGGCGGCCCTGACAGAGGAGCAGGAGAAAGACGTGGAGGTGGCTCGCTGCGGGGCCCTGGCCCTCTGGAGCTGCAGTAAGAGAACCAGGAACAAGGAGGCAATCAATCCGCAAGGCCGGGGGAATCCCTCTTCTGGCCCGCCTGATCAAGTCTCCCCATGAGAACATGCTAATACCTGTGGTGGGAACCCTGCAAGAGTGTGCCTCAGAGGTGAGGGGCTCACTGTGAGGCTCTGGTCAAAGGAAGTACACTACATAGGGAATAGGGTGCCATTTCGGGCGCATGCATGGTGTGGGAAGCATGTTCAGCAGATTAAGGTATGGAGTGCCACCCTGAAGAGGACCACTGTGTGATTCATCATTGGAACTCAAAACACTGTCTCTGATTGCCTATGTGTTTTCCCTACACTTTAATTTACAGAGAAGTTACAGAATTGCCATCCAGACTGAGGGCATGATCGAGGACTTGGTGAAAAACCTCAACTGTGACAACCACGAGCTACAGATGCACTGTGCCATTGCCATCTTCAAGGTGATCCTGTGCCTCATCCCCCCCCAGTTAAATTCCTGTCTTAGGTCCATACCTATTCTCATTTAAAAGGAACCCATTAACAAGCAAAAATGTACATTGATGCTGGGAATGTGAACAATGCATAAGCATTAGGGCAAAGAACTTCCAAAAATATGTCTATCATAGTTTTTAGATGTGTACTAATAGCCCCAAAGCTATATCTCTTGCCTGTCTTTCCCTGTCTATGTCAGTGTGCGGAAGACAAGCGTACCCGTGACCTGGTACGTCAGTACGAGGGCCTGCAGCCCCTGGTGACTCTGCTGAGCCAGGCAGACAACAAGCAGCTCCTGGCCGCCACCACCGGGGCCATCTGGAAGTGCTCCATCAGCATGGAGAACGTGGCTAAGTAACGTTACGCGCCCTTTTCCTCCCTCCCATTATTATTACCCCTCATTATCACTACAGCCCCACTCAGACTGGAGCCTAACCAGAACCAGAGTTAAACTGTGTGTTTGCAGGTTGTGATCCCATATATTATATATTATTTACTGTAGTGGGGACTAGCCCTGACTTTGACAAATCACCCATGCAGAAGTACATAGATATTTGACTGATGTCCATTTAGCATTTATTGAATGGGTAGCCATAGGTGCTTGTTATACTTAGAAAATATAATTGCTAGTTTAGTGAGCAAGAGTCTTTCGTGTTTTAGAGAGCTAAGTTGATAGTATGGGCAGATGGGTCTACATTACGTTCCAATGGAAAGCATAGTGATAGCAGTTGGGATGAGGGTCGAAGGACTGCAATCACATGTGGTGTTTTTACAAGACCTCTCATTTGTTCATATGGGAGTCTCAAATGTTTAACTCCCAAGTGTAGTCACATCTCGTCCTTTACGTTGTGTCTGGTCGAAGTGATTATTTGGACAAAATGTAGAGTTCTGCCACGGATTCTATTATCTCTGATCTTTTACGTGACTGTTTGCAGGAGGAATGTGCTATTTTCCACTGTTAACAAAAGATGAAGAAAAGTGTTGATTTTATAGACACCCAATAATGTGTTAGTCTAAAGCAGCTCTCCTCCCATTAGTATTGAACATGGGCAAGCAGACAGAGAGAAAGCTGCCTAAAATAATTACTACTTCATAATGTCAGAAATGTAAGCTGACAGACTCTTAAATCATTTGTCATGTTACGGCATGCCCACGTTTACTTAATTGTCATTTAGTTCCCTTCAACAGTGACACTTTCTGGAATCTTTCCTGGCTGGCTTTATTTTGCGTCGGATGATTTTTATGTCAGTAATTTCCCCTAAAAATAAATAATGCCTAGAAATCGTGCCCTGACAGCTGTTGACGGTTGCTAAAAGGTACTCCCATGAAAAAATGATTTAGCTGTATTTATTTTCTTACTCTGGGCTGCTCTGGGGACATACAATACAAGCCATATGCATTCATTTATACCACGGTAACCTCTTAATAAATTCAAGGCTTATTTTCAGAAACGATGCCAACAAACTGATAAGGCTGTGTCTTTTTATATATTTTTACAATGAGTGTTTAAAAAACAATTAAATATGGTTTTATATGATGAATTAAGATATGTGGAAATGTCTAGCCTTTGACTCAAAAACCCTGTAGGATTTAAAATTGCAGAGGGCCCAGTAGTCACACCGGTCTCTCTCCAACTCATATTTCATAACTGATAGAATGATATCCTACATTTAGAGTCTAAGTTAAGTCTTCCCAACTGGAAGCAAGTGCCTGTTGCCACATGAAATTAAACAAAGATCCCATTACAGAAGTATGCCAATAACCCTCTCTTTAAAACAGGTGGATATACACTGAGTGTACAAAACATTAGGAACAGCTTCCTAATATTGAGTTGCACCCCCTTTTGCCATCAGAACAGCCTCAATTCGTCGGGCATGGACTCTACAAGCTGTCGAAAGCGCTCACAGGGATGCTGGCCCATGCGTCACACAGTTGTGTCAAATTGGCTGGATGTATTTTGGGTGGTGGACCATTCTTGATACACACGGGAAACTGTTGATCATGAAAAACCTAATAGCATTGCAGTTCTTGACACACTCAAACTGGTGCGCCTGGCACATACTACCATACCCTGTTCAAAGGCACTTAAAAATGTTGTCTTGCCCGTTCACCCTCTGAATGGCACACATACACAATCCATGTCTCAAGGCTTAAAAATCCTTCATTAAACTGTCTCCTCCCCTTCATCTACACTGATTGAAGTGTATTTAACAGGTGACATCAATAAGGGATCATAGCTTTCACCTGGATTCACCTAGTCAGTCTATGTCATGGAAAGAGCATGTGTAGATTACTGTCTCTGGTGCCAAGTTCATAATGGACAACCAGACCAGTGGTTGTTGTCATAAACAAAAGTGCATGTTCTGTTTGCATAGAAAGAGAAGTGTTGGCTGACAACATATTTAGCTGTAAAGACTAAAGAATTTATACAGTACGGGTTTTCAGGGAACAAAGTGAACCTTTCAGACTGCCTGTCAGTCCTCTGGCTACTAAACAAGCCTTCATATTCAGTCCAGTTCTGCTGTATAAAAAATGGCAGAGATTGGGAGCCCTTCAGAGTGCAGCCTGGCAAGGCGATAAAACAAGTTAACTGCACTGGCAATGAGTAATGTGGCACCTCCGTGCACTTGCTCCCATTACAGGCCGCTTGCCGCAGCGTAATTACTCATAACACTGTTGCTATGCAAAAAGGCCATAATAATAATAGCAATGATTAGCAATGATACTGATAATCGCATACAAAACTGCAATTGGGTGACACTTCATTAGCAAACATCAAACCCCTCAGAAGGGTGCCCTCACACTCATTAAGTGGGGATGTGATAAATAAGTAAGGAATCCAGTCAGTGAGAGAGAGAGAGACCCAAAGGATTGTAACACCCGCTACAATGTTCCCATTTAATGGTTACTTTCCTGTGTAGCGTTTGTGTTTTGTTTAGTTTTTTGGACGGCTCGGGGGGTTGGGTGTGAACGAAGGTAGAAATGTGTCAGAGTGGTGTGAGTGTGTGGAATCAAACGCAGGAACCAGGATGACGTTAAACACTTTAGTAAATCCAAAAATGGACAAAATAGCCTCCCCAACCGGGTGGCGCACCAATACGCACTGAAACACTGTGCGGAAAACAAGAAAGAAGCGCACGCAGTGCAAACTCTCGAAAAACCACGAGAGACTGAATACAGCTGACACAGGCTGACATAAAACAATAACGCATAACACCTGACCCAAACACACAAACTAAATAAGGGGAACAATCAAGACACAAACAAGGGACAGGTGTTATGAACAGACAAAACCAAAAGAACAAGAAACATCGAACGGTGGCAGCTAGTACTCCGGAGACGACGACCGCCGAAGTCCGCCCGAACAAGGAAGAGGAGCAGCCTCGGCCGAAACCGTGACAGTACCCCCCCCTTGACGCGCGGCTCCAGCCGTGCGCCGACCCGGAGCTCGAGGACGACCCGGACGACGCGGAGCAGGGCGCGCAGGATGACCCCGATGGAAATCGGTCAGTAGGGACTGGTCTAACACGTCCCTCCTTGGCACCCAGCACCGCTCCTCCGGACCGTACCCCTCCCACTCCACAAGATATTGAAGACCCCCCATCCGGCGTCTAGAATCCAGTATGGACCTCACGGTGTACGCCGGAGCCCCCTCGATGTCCAACGGGGGCGGAGGAGTCTCCTCAATCTCAAAGTCCTGGAGTGGACCAGCTACCACCGGCCTGAGGAGAGACACATGGAACGAGGGGTTAATATTTTTGTAGTCAACAGGTAGTTCTAACCTATAACTCACCTCGTTCAATCTCCTCAGGACTTTAAACGGCCCCACAAACCGCCGACCCAGCTTCCGGCAGGGCAGGCGGAGGGGCAGGTTTCTGGTTGAGAGCCAGACTCGATCTCCAGGTGCGTACACTGGCCCCTCACTGCGGTGTAGGTCGGCGCTCGTCTTCTGTCGACGTATGGCACGCTGCAGATGGACGTGTGCAGCGTCCCACGTCTCCTCCGAGCGCCTTACCCACTCATCCACAGCGGGGGCCTCGATCTGGCTCTCATGCCATGGTGCCAGCACCGGCTGGTACCCCAACACGCACTGAAACGGGGTTAGTTGGGTGGAGGAGTGGCGAAGAGAGTTCTGTGCCATCTCGGCCCAGGGCACATATCTCGCCCACTCCTCCGGCCGGCCCTGACAGTATGACCTCAGAAACCTACCCACATCCTGGTTGACACGTTCAACCTGCCCATTACTCTCCGGGTGGTAACCCGAGGTAAGGCTTACCGACACCCCCAACCGTTCCATAAATGCCCTCCACACTCTAGAGGTGAACTGGGGGCCTCGGTCAGACACTATATCCTCGGGTACCCCGTAATGCCGGAAGACATGGGTGAACAGAGCCTCAGCGGTCTGTAGGGCAGTGGGTAGACCCGGCATGGGAAGGAGACGACAGGCCTTCGAGAACCTATCCACAACGACCAGGATGGTAGTATTCCCCTGTGAGGGGGGAAGGTCGGTAACAAAATCCACCGAGAGGTGGGACCAGGGTCGTTGTGGAATAGGCAGGGGTTGTAACTTACCCCTGGGCAAATGTCTGGGCGCCTTACACTGGGCACACACCGAACAGGAGGAGACATAAATCCTCACATCCCTAGCTAACGTTGGCCACCAGTACTTCGTGCCAAGGCAGTGCACTGTCCGGCCGATACCCGGTCTACCTCCATCCTCACCCCTGACGCAGATAACTGGTAACCCAGAAAGGAGACCGACTTCTGAAAAAACAGACATTTCTCTGCCTTGACATATAGGTCATGCTCCAACAGCCTCCGCAATACTCGGCGCACCAGGGCTACATGCTCAGCACGGGTAGGACTATACACCAGAATGTCGTCGATGTACACAACCACTCCCTGTCCCTGCATGTCCCGGAAAATCTCATCAACGAAGGATTGGAAGACTGAGGGAGCATTCATCAACCCATATGGCATGACTAGATACTCGTAGTGCCCGGAAGTCGTGCTAAACGCTGTCTTCCATTCATCGCCCTTTCGGATGCGCACCAAGTTATATGCGCTCCTAAGATCCAATTTTGTAAAGAACTGCGCACCGTGCAGTGACTCCGTCATAGTCGCAATCAGAGGAAGTGGATAGCTGTACTTCACTGTGATCTGATTGAGACCGCGGTAATCAATACACGGCCGCAGACCTCCATCCTTCTTCTTCACAAAAAAGAAACTTGAGGAAACGGGTGAAACGGAGGGCCGTATGTATCCCTGTCCAAGAGACTCAGAGATGTATGTCTCCATAGATTTCTTCTCCTCCTGAGACAAGGGATACACATGGCTCCGCGGGAGAGCTGCGCCTGACTGGAGATCTATCGCACAATCCCCCCGTCTATGAGGCGGCAGCTGCGCAGCCCTAGTCTTACTGAACGCCAATGCCAAATCCTCATACTCGGGGGGAATCTGCAGTGCTGGCATTAGATTCGGACTCTCCACCGAGGTCGCCCCTATGGAAACACCCAGACACCGCCCCTCACATTGAGCAGACCACCCTTTAAGAGCTTTCTCTCGCCACCCAATAATAGGGTCATGAGTCATCAACCAGGGAAGACCCAGCACCACCGGATACGCAGGAGAGTCAATCAGATAAAGCTGAATTCTCTCCTCATGACCCTCCTGCGCCATCATCTGAAGTGGCGCTGTGACCTCCCTAATCAACCCAGACCCTAACGGACGGCTATCTAGGGCATGGACGGGGAAAGGCTTATCCACTGGAAGAAGGGGAATCCCTAACTCTAAACAGAACTGGCGATCTATAAAATTCCCAGCTGCGCCTGAATCTACCAGCGCCTTATGCTGGGAACGAGGTGCAACCTGTGGGAAACAAACAGGCAAGGTTAGGTGCACGACAGAAAGCTCTGGGTAAGCAGGGCGCCTACTCACCTGGGGGGACCCCCCAATGCTAGACCTGCCATCTCCTCCCCTGGAGGACCCGCCCCAGCACCTAGCCGCAGTGTGCCCTCCACGACCACAGTTGGTGCACGGGCCGGGTCCCCGTGGGCTCCTCCTCCTCCTTTCCCTAGCGCCAGCACCCCCGAGCTCCATAGGACTCGGCTCGGAGGCGCTGGAAAGTGGAATGGGCGAACCCCCCCCTCCGGGACGCCCACGGGTGGCGAGCAGGGTATCCAGCCGGATGGCCATGTCGACCAGTTGGTCGAAAGTTAACGACGTGTCCCTGCACGCCAACTCTCGCTGGACGTCCTCTCGGAGGCTGCAGCGGAAATGGTCAATATGGGCCCGCTCATTCCACCCTGCATCAGCCGCTAGGGTCCGGAACTCTAAGGCAAAGTCCTGTGCGCTCCTCATCCCCTGTCGGAGGTAGAACAGACGTTCCCCCGCCGCCTTCCCTTCTGGTGGATGGTCGAATACAGCACGGAAGCGGCGGGAGAACTCCGCATAGTTCGTGGTTGCGGCGTCCATTCTCCTCCACTCGGCGTTGGCCCACTCCAACGCCTTGCCGGTGAGACAGGAGATGAGGGCTGAGACGCTCTCGTGTCCCGAGGGCGCCGGGTGTACGGTGGCGAGGTAGAGCTCCACCTGCAGCAGGAACCCTTGACACCCAGCGGTGGAGCCGTCGTACGCCCTCGGGAGCGAGAGCCGAATCCCACTGGGTTCCGGAGATGACACCGGAGGGCTGACCGCTGGAGCTGGGTCGGTGGTTGGAGGTGTGGGCACCCCGCTGGTCTCCCATCGGTGTAGAGTGGTCATCACCCTCTCCAGGGCGTGACAGACCTGGTTCATTCGGTCCTCCTGACCACGAAGACGTTCGTCCATATCGGCGGTCGGCGCGGTCGCTCCTGCTGATTCCATTTCGATGCGTTATTCTGTCAGAGTGGTGTGAGTGTGTGGAATCAAACGCAGGAACCAGGATGACGTTAAACACTTTAGTAAATCCAAAAATGGACAAAATAGCCTCCCCAACCGGGTGGCGCACCAATACGCACTGAAACACTGTGCGGAAAACAAGAAAGAAGCGCACGCAGTGCAAACTCTCGAAAAACCACGAGAGACTGAATACAGCTGACACAGGCTGACATAAAACAATAACGCATAACACCTGACCCAAACACACAAACTAAATAAGGGGAACAATCAAGACACAAACAAGGGACAGGTGTTATGAACAGACAAAACCAAAAGAACAAGAAACATCGAACGGTGGCAGCTAGTACTCCGGAGACGACGACCGCCGAAGTCCGCCCGAACAAGGAAGAGGAGCAGCCTCGGCCGAAACCGTGACAAAATGTGGCTGTGGGTTTTCCAGGCAGGCAGGCAGGCAGGAGAGGAAACCAGCGTGATGCAGAGTAGAGCACTGAGTGTTTTAATACACACTTACATTTGCAAGTGGATGAGAGTTTTTTTTTATTCTCTCAGGGTTATTTGAATAACATACAAAAATGTCAAGGTCAGACGCAGGTTTGGAATGAAATGACCAAGCCATTTCTGCACCAGGAAAGGCTGCGAACGGTAATAGAGAGTTTCAGGGAGAGTTGTTCAGGGCATGTGTTCATTTCAGAATCAATCATGGGTCGAGTGGTGTTTCGAGACAAAAATATTTTCGGAATATAGTTTTTTTGTATTCACAAGTAGTACATGAACAACTTAAACAAGCCCTTGTGGCCAATAGCAGGCAGCATACTTTTTTGTGAGTTATCTTTAACATGGCCTGACTGTATGGTACAGGCAGGCCCTAAGGTTACATCCCAAATGGCACCATATTCCCTATGTAGTGCACTACTTTTGACCAGGGCCCATAGTGCTCTAGTCAAAAGTAATGGATATAGGGAATAGGGTGCCATTTTGGATGCAGGCCTGAGATGTGAGTAGGGAGACCTCCGCTAAAGTCCAGAAGAATCAGCATCTGTAAGCTATTTGCCTGATTAATGGTGCATCAAAATGAGAGATGATTGATGGTTAAAAATATAATTACCTTCATAACTTAAGTGTGTTTGTTTTAAAGCTTTACATCGTCTAAATGTCCAGAGATGTAACATTTTCATAAGGCCTGGAATATGGAGGGAGACTAGACCTATAGCCTATATGTATGAAAGGCCTTCATAAAAAAGGCCTTTCAATCTTCCCGTCTCGCACTAGGAAAGTTTTGGACCGTTGTTTCGTGCAGATTTAAAAGCTGATTTATAGGTGCATTGATATGTGGCCCCTTGAACCATATATACTTAGGTGTTATGGACACACACAAACGCTGTGTAAAAACTAAGCCCTGTAACAAAAGAGTGAGGGAATAACTTTGCAATGGAAAGTGGTCCTTGCCAAAACTCAGACTGTATTTGCCAACACAATAATGTTTGTGTGGTTCAGTTACAATTACTGACTATCCATCCAGTCCTACTTCTCTTACCTCTGTTCCAGAGTCTATGATGAACAGACCATAATTATGTATCGTAATGATACTTCTTTCTTGCCTCACATTTCTATCTACAGAACTTTGCTCACCGGAGCCCAAGGCCTATTCAGGCAGCAGTTCACTCTCCTTCATTTTGAAGTGAGTAAATGTTTCTGTTCTACATTAGGCAGTAGAATGTATCCATCTGAAAGTCTCCCAGTCCCTTTATGATCCCATTGAGTGTCTTGGAGGGTCTCTTCCTTTCCCGTGGTCCTTGAAATGACTCTTTCATACAGAGACCCTTCTTAAAAACTAACTGGCTGTGGTATAAAAGGGCAGGCAGGCAGCATTCAAGTTCTTTGCACCACGAATTTGAATGAATGTGTTACTGTAACAGAACTCTTTACAAAAAGAGATGGAGCAACACAATCAATCATAAAGCTGCTACACAGAAGCCTCTCTGTGGTTCCTGTGTCTTTTGACAGGCTTTAATAATGCTTCCACTTGTGTGGAGCCCACTGTTTGTACGAGGAGCTGATTCGGGAAGCTTTGTGTTATGTTTCTTCTGCCATCGTAATTACGCGAGCTGGGATTGGTTTAACAAAAATAGACATGACTCGCAGTCCATTTATCAAAAGTTATGTGTGCAATTACAAGGTAATTCTACTGTAGGAGTGCCCTGCAGATAACACTTCAGTGGTGGCCATTTGAATAACATTGTTTTTCTACGTTAAATCAGTAAAAGTTAGCTTTGGCAGCCACTCCGTTCATTACTGTTTTACTTGCACAGAATGTATTTTGATGGATCGTGACCAAAACCAAATGACCTTGGACACTTTCTACAATAGCCTACGGACTGTGTTGCCAGCAACCGTAACTGTGAATAAAAACAGTTGTAGAACTTAACCGTACATCAGAGGTTTGTTGAGGCTTTCTGCAACCACATTATATCCCTCTTAAATGTTTACTGTAGTCCACCCACTCTATAATTCTGGCAAACAAAGTGAAATCAAAGTAAAACAGGGAGTGAACTAGTCCAAGGCACAGCGAACCTCGGTCATTCAAAGTACATGCGTGGGGAGGCCTTTGAGCAGTCGTGAGGAAACTGCCCTGTTTCCACTGGAACAAGTGAATTGTACTGAAGAAAATACACCCATTTCAATATTCTCTATGTTATCAGACTGTCACCTGGCCAATCTAGGGCATTTCACCTTGCTCAACAAAATTGATAACATCTACAGGATATTGATTATGATTCAGAATTATGTGAGTAAAATATTTAAAATGTCTATCACTGTCCTATTCTTCAAGCCCATACACTTATGTCCAAAGCAGCATATAACATACTGTATAAGGCTATACGGCAACTATATAAAGATTAAAGTGATTGGTTGAATAAAGTGATTGATTGACCCTGGTGCTATGCCTTCCCTCAGGTTCCAGGAGTACAAGGCCTTAGTGGTGGGTCTGCTAACGGACCAGCCTGAGGAGGTACTAGTGAACGTGGTGAGGGCCCAGAAACCTGCCAACAGGGCCACCATCAGGAAGTGTGGAGGCATCCAGCCCCTGGTCAACCTGCTGACCGGAACCAACCAGGCTCTGCTGGTCAACGTCACCAAGGCTGTGGGGGCCTGCGCCACAGAGCAAGAGAACATGGCATATGTCATAGAGATGTATCATATATTTAATTATGTGGCATAAATCACCCACCCAGTTCAGATGATCAACTGTGGTGGTAAGCGCTTTGTTTGAAGTCTCACTTACGACCAGACATGTCTTTGCAAGCTCTTCAAAATGTGTCATAACCTCTGTTATTAGCGGCCATTCAGCATCATAATTGGTCCTAATAATGTTGTTGACAGACAGTGTTATGACACAACTTGGCATGTGTCCTAATGATAATGTCAGGCTATGATCTTAATCATTCATCTTTACGAGGTAGGTTTCATGTTCTTCTTCAGCTGAGTGACAGTTTTAAAAGCCTTGTTTATTGACCCTGCTGTAATAAATATGGTTGTGGTGGCGCGTCCCACAGTTTTACTGTACTTCTGTGGTCATTCATGTTGCTGGGCTGGTCAGGGTAGCATACCTTCAGCCATCCAAGCCCTCAGGGCTGTACAAATATAAACACTGAACACATACAGTCCAGTCCTGCTTCTAGACTACAGTATGTGCTCATTTGGTTTCAATGCTACCAAACGCTGCATACAGTACAGTATACAGTCCCATCTGAATTTCATTGCTTTTACAAGGCTGTTACAGACTACAAGACCCTTACTCAATTAACACTGGACACAAATAAATAACTTACGTCCGAGTACGTTTTGTTAGGCAAGCCATTAACACCATTGTCAGGAAAAAGTTATATGGTTAAGATAAGCAGAACTACAGTGGTGCAATAAAAAGTGCAGAACGTTGTTGTGAAGAAATAAGGCCATTTCAGCAATTAGGCTAGCTAGCCTAGCTTCTGGAAGACATTCAACACACACAGCCCAGGCAGAATATTATATCAGAACACATTCATTCAAGGCCATGTTTTCTCATGGAATGTATATTTAGGCCTTGTCATTTTGCATTTACATTTAGTTGTGGACAGAAAGTCGTTATTTCGACAAGTGCTTTTTGTATGTCTTGTGGCAGTGACTTATTTTGTGGACCTGTTTGTACAGTAGTTCGCTGAGCAATTAACATAGCTCACATTTGATTGTTTCCTGCTCCAGACCACATATGGTCAGAGCTGGTTCTCAGATGAAGGACCATTGTCTCACTGACTTACTGGACTACAGGGTGATGTCTGTTTGTCTGTTGCATTCAAATTCAGGTGCAAAATCCATGTCAGTTATCTTGGCTTTGTATTCCTGGTGCAGGGTCACATGGCCAGGAAAAACTCCTGGCCGTAGTTGTTCCCTTACAAAAAAATAAATACGTCAAATTTGCAGTTTAACTTTAAAATCGAATTTTCACATTGTGAAATAGCTGTTTTCACATGTTTTAGATTATTAGATTTAGAGTTCACATGTTAACACCACCTTTTCACGTGAGAAATAAAGCGTGTTTTCACCTCACGTGAATTGCAGTTTCGAAAATCGGATATGCAGTTTCACATGTGAAAAACTGTTTGACAGTCCTAGTTGACATTAAAGTGTGAAAATGCACATGTGAAAGTGTAGCGGACATGAGTCGGTGATGGTTGGTCACATGTTTTTTGGTCCTCTTGGTTGAATGGTCAAGATGTTGGCCAGGTTCTAATCCCGGCAGTTACAAAAGCACACATGTGAAATGTATAATATCACCTGTGAAATGTTGGGAAACCACATGTGCACATGAGTCATGTGAAAATGTAATATATGTGAAACTTCATACGTGTCCGAAAACCACGTGTCTGACTTACACGTCTGTGATTTGTTCACCTGTGAAACCTCACATGTGTCTCGCTCGTGTACATTTCACATATAAAAAATCAATTTGTTTTCCCTCATTTGTGTTTTTTCATGTTCTTTTCACATGATTTTTTAATGTTTTCTTTATTGGAACGGTTGCTATTCAAAACTAACTTTTAAAAAACTTTTTTTTTAATTAGCTTATTTTTATTCTAAGCTATTGCACTGTATGGTTAATGACATCATAGAAAGTATCACATTACAATCCCTCCTAGTACTTTTATGTAACTTACAAGAAAGAACATACGTACTGCAAATGCCTTGAGTCTTTGTGGTCTCCCCGTTTCCATCCCTCATCCAAACTGTCAGTTGTCTCCTTCATGCTAACGTGTTTCATACCTGCTCTTGTGAGGACAGCACTTTTCTGGCACTTGATATGAAGTTTAGTTTGTTGTTGGGCTTGATTTAGGAGGCCCCGTAGACTGGAATCTTATGTTATGATCCCCCAGACTGATTTATGTGCAAACGGAAGACAGATGGCGCAGGGGACTTCTCCTGATGAGTGCTCGCTCGTTGCCAGTCACGGAGATACCGTGATTAGGGAGTGTTTAAGTCATTATGACAGCATTCAATGTCGGCCTTGTTGGTGGAAGCACACATGGGAAACACGTTACATGTTATTTATACCAGACAACGGGCGCACTGTGGCGTAATTCTTTGGGTTCCCAGACCCTGACTACAGCCTTGACTACAGTCATGTACGCAGCATGAAATACGGCTTATGCTTAAGTAAACTTCAACTCAGACGCAATGAAATATAGAGAGATCTGTCTACTGGCTCTGTTTGATTTGGAAAGAAGTACCCCTGGACTACCCACCATACAGTATAATGTTGTTTTGGTTCTATATATAAATATATATCTATGGACTTCACTCACTATACATGAATTTACACAAGTTAACCTTTGGCCTACCATCACGTAGGCGGTCAGTGATTTCTCATGAAGATTCACTTTACCAGACGAGACAGCGAGTGGGTTTTTAGAGCTGTGGTGGAAACAGAATTGGACTGTTGAAGGTTGGTTTGTGATTGAAAACTCATTCAGCTAAATGTCTGATCCCTTTGATCCTGCCCTGTGATGGGTATTCAGGGTCTGGACATGGGCAAACTGATACTGTATGGCCCAGCCCAGCCGAGCCAGCTCTGAGAAAGAGAAGCTCTCAAATGCTCCTCTTAACTGTGAAAGTATGGTGTAGATCACACTGACTGGGCCCACTGTAATATCACTTTCTCTCTTTTCTCTTCCTCCTCTCTCTTCTCTCCCTCTCTCCCTTTCTCTTCTCTCTCTCTTTCTCTGACTTTGTCTCTCTCGCCCTCTTTCTCTTCTCTCTCTCCCTCTCTCACTTTCTCTTTCTCTTCCTCTCTCTGTGTCTCTCTTCCCTCTCTCTCTCTATTTTCTCTCTCTCTTCTCTTTTCTCTTCCTCAACAGGATCATTGACCGTCTGGATGGGAGTGCGCCTGCTTTGGTCCTTGTTGAAAAACCCAAATCCAGATGTCCAGGCCAGTGCTGCATGGGGCATTTGTCCATGCATTGAAAATGCAAAGGTACAGTACGTAACTTTTTTTTCCACTCACAGTTGCAATACATTTGTTTTAATTATTTAATTATAATGACAATTCTGCATAACAACAAATTTAACAAATATTACACTGTTATAACACTACATAAGTCTCAAGTTTGCCATAAAAGTTGTCATTGTTGTTCTATTGCAGGTTTATATTTGTATGTTGATCATTGCTGTAATATGTTTATCGTGTTTGAATCCCTCTCTCTGCCACTGTTATATCATCATGTCAGCCTCCACAAGACTCTCTCTCCTAAAAGATGCACTATGCAGAAATCTCTTTGCCATTTCCCGGTTGCAAAAATTCTAGTTTGCCTAATTTCAGTTTATGTGATAAAACAAGCAAGTATAGTGTAGAGTATAATTGTACCATCTAAACCGCTGTGAAATATATTTTCCATAACCAAAAATATTGTATTTTCAGCTGCATGAAGCTGGTGTACAAAACCGAAAGTAAAAGACGCAAAAACGAAACTTAAAAACGGGAAGCATAGAAATATCACAGATAGAACAGATCTACCGCTTCTTAGACTTACTTTCAATGAGAATGAAGTTACATATTGCAGCTTTAAAGACAATCTGGTGTTGGGAGGTTGCAGCAGGGGCAGCGCTTACATGAACCCTCCACTAATATAAAGCAGAACACGCTGCTCTTTGTTGGTGAACTGGGAAACAGGCAGCAGGCAGGCAGGCAGGGAGAGACTTGGAAGAGTAATATCCTGTGGCATAAGTTCTGATTCCTCTGTTGAAAATCCTCCATCAACATGCTCTGAGTTACAGTGTCACACAACCAGCAGCAGTTTCTTCTTACACAACAAGCAGGGTGCCAGACAGACAGGCCGTGTCTCCTGTGACCCCATGCTGCATATTCAGCCTAGGCTGCTGAACATACTTCTACTGTACAGTCCTCACGACATTAGGGCCGACTGTATAGCATGCATATACTGTTTACATTTACATTTTAGTAGACACTCTTATCCAGAGCGACTTACAGTTAGTGCATACATTATTTCATATTTTTCATACTGGCCCCCCGTGGGAAACGAACCCACAACCCTGGCGTTGCAAACGCCATGCTCTACCAACTGAGCTACATCCCTGCCGGCCATTCCCTCCCCTACCCTGGACGACGCTGGGCCAATTGTGCGCCGCCCCATGGGTCTCCCGGTCGCGGCCGGCTACGACAGAGCCTGGATTCGAACCAGGATCTCTAGTGGCAACCGATTGACAAGCTGTTTATGTTAATCATGTCGATAATCTAATAGAACAATGTTCCATTTGTATTTTGGAAAAAATATACAACGGCCCGGGGAATCAAACCCACTGACAGATATATTTCAGCAGTTCTATATGAATGCAATAGACTGTTTGTGCATTCCAAATTGCACCATGTTCCCTAAACAGTGCACTACTTTTGACCGGAGGGCCCATAGGGCTCTGGTCAAAAGTAGTGCACTATATAGGGAATAGGGTGCCATATGGGATGCACAAACAGTCTATTGCATTCATATAGAACTGCTGAAGTATATCTGTCAGTGGGTTTGATTCCCCGGGCCGTTGTATATTTTTTCCAAAATACAAATGGAACATTGTTCTATTAGATTATCGACATGATTAACATAAACAGCTTGTCAATCGGTTTAAGTTTAAACAGATACATTGGGTCCAGCTCAGGCAGGTGTCTCAGTCTCAGTTAGGGTGAGGGAGCTTTTCACTTGCTAGAAGGAACTTTTCTGGTCCAGAAGTGTTGCAAAAATGATATATGGCAACCATATGGTCCGGCCGCAGCTCAACTCACTATTTGAACGCTAACAAAGTTTGACAATGTTTGTCTGGACTCTACAGTGCCAATTTTTGTAGGAATACATGAACATGCTATTTGGTTGATTTCTGAGACAGGGTCAATGACAAGAGCTAAACAGTGCAGGGTTTTGCCCGTCGAGGAGAGCGAGGGGAATTCGATACTGCTTGGTGTAGTAGTAGTTATTTAGATAAAACCCCCATGTGGTTTTAGTTAGCAGCTCCACAGTGGATTTTTGAGAGAATCATGGTGTAAATGCAGCTGCTGGATGCTCCAGTCCAGTCCATACCTCTACTCGTCCTCAGACACACTTAGACACATAGAGAATTCAGAAACAGTACGCCCCACTACCGGCCTGCCTGGCTTGCCTGGCCAGCTCTGTGCTGTGAGTAAAGCCCCAGTCATTATTGCATGCAGGCAGTCAGCAGGGGCTTTGCAGTGAATCAGTAAATTAGCTTTGTTCCCTCAATCAAGGATGTAACCTGCCCTGCTGTTCATATAATGAAGTGCATCATTAATTTGCCAGGACATGGACAACTTGCGATGAGTGATGTATTTTTTATTTTACATCGTAGCCTACCGTATAGCAGCATATGAAAGTAGGAGCCTGATTGCTTGCTGGAGAGGGTCAGGGCAAACTAGCCTGCTGCGCCACTTGGGCCGGCTTCCTTCCCTCTCCCTCGGTCTAGGCTACAGTGGCTTGCGAAAGTATTCACCCCCCTTACCATTTTTCCTATTTTGTTGCCTTACAACCTGGAATTAAAATGGATTTTGGGGGGGGGGGGATTTGTATCATTTGATTTACACAACATGCCTACCACTTTGAAGATGCAAAATATTTTGTCTTGTGACACAAACAAGAAATAAGACAAAGAAAACTGAAAACTTGAGCGTGCATAATTATTCACCCCCCCAAAGTCAATACTTTGTAGAGCTATCTTTTGCAGCAATTACAGCTGCAAGTCTCTTGGGGTATGTCTCTATAAGCTTGGCACATCTAGCCACTGGGATTTTTGCCCATTCTTCAAGGCAAAACTTCTCCAGCTCCTTCAAGTTGGATGGGTTCCGCTGGTGTACAGCAATCTTTAAGTCATACCACAGATTCTCAATTGGATTGAGGTCTGGGCTTTGACTAGACCATTCCAAGACATTTAAATGTTTCCCTTTAAACCACTTGAGTGTTGCTTTAGCAGTATGCTTAGGGTCATTGTCCTGCTGGAAGGTGAGCCTCCGTCCCAGTCTCAAATCTCTGGAAGACTGAAACAGGTTTCCCTCAAGAATTTCCCTGTGTTTAGCGCCATCCATCATTTCTTCAATTCTGATCAGTTTCCCAGTCCCTGCCGATGAAAAACATCCCCACAGCATGATGCTGCCACCACCATGCTTCACTGTGGGGATGGTGTTCTCGGGGAGATGAGAGGTGTTGGGTTTGCGCCAGACATAGCGTTTTCCTTGATGGCTAAAAAGCTCAATTTTAGTCTCATCTGACCAGAGTACCTTCTTCCATATGTTTGGGGAGTCTCCCACATGCCTTTTGGCGAACACCAAACATGTTTGCTTATTTTTTTCTTTAAGCAATGGCTTTTTTCTGGCCACTCTTCTGTAAAGCCCAGCTCTGTGGAGTGTACGGCCTAAAGTGGTCCTATGGACAGATATAGTATGAAAAATGTATGCACTCACTAACTGTAAGTCGCTCTGGATAAGAGCGTCTGCTAAATGACTAAAATGTAAATGTAAATGTAATACTCCAATCCCCGCTGTGGAGCTTTGCAGTTCCTTCAGGGTTATCTTTGGTCTCTTTGTTGCCTCTCTGATTAATGCCTCCTTGCCTGGTCCATGAGTTTTCGTGGGCGGCCCTCTCATGGCAGGTGTGTTGTGGTGCCATATTCTTTCAATTTTTTAATAATGGATTTAATGGTGCTCCATGGGATGTTAAAAGTTTCAGATATTTTTTTATAACCCAACCCTGATCTGTACTTCTCCACAACTTTGTCCCTGACCTGTTTGGAGAGCTCCTTGGTCTTCATGGTGCCGCTTGCTTGGTGGTGCCCCTTGCTTAGTGGTGTTGCAGACTCTGGGGCCTTTCAGAACAGGTGTATATATACTGAGATCATGTGACACTTAGATTGCACACAGGTGGACTTTATTTAACTAATTATGTGACTTCTGAAGGTAATTGGTTGCACCAGATCTTATTTAGGGGCTTCATAGCAAAGGGGGTGAATACATATGCACGCACCACTTTTTTGTTATTCTTTTAATTTTTTATTTTGAAAAAGTTCTTTTTTTCATTTTACTTCACCAATTTGGACTATTTTGTATGTCCATTACATGAAATCCAAATAAAAATCCATTTCAATTACAGGTTGTAATGCAACAAAATAGGAAAAACGCCAAGGGGGATGAATACTTTTGCAAGGCACTGTACATCACGCACACCGACCAGATAATGTGTTTTCTATTTAATTTAATCTTTGGGGAAAAGGGACAGCAGGATAGCAGGGGCCTTACGTGTGTAGCTTCATAATGCTGCGGTTTTCAGGGATCTGGGGTTCTGTCCAGGCCATGAAAGGGATCCTCACTAGTCTGTCACAGCTGGTGGCTTGAGAAGCACTTCCTCTGTCGCTGGTGAGTCGTGGCATCATCAGTATTCCTTAGGAAATGCTTCCTGTGCTGTGTGTTGGGGCAGAGCGGAGCAGGGGGTCAGCTCCTGGCTCTGGCTCTGGCTCTGGCCCGGCACACACTGTTCATCCTCTGGCACCACATCTGAGGGGAGCAGAGAGAGAAACACCACCATGTCCTGTCCAGCTCTCTTGAGTCCTGGTCTGTCAGAGCTAGAAGGCTCCATTCAATACTCCTCCCTGCCTGCACTCCTGTCCCTTGTTAAATAGGCCACTCACATTGAGGCTCGTGTGATTGTGGTTAACCAGTGTGCTCATTGCTTTATTTATCCTTTATTTAACGAGTTGAGTCCCATTGAGATGCAAATCTCTTTTAAAAGTGAGCCCTTGGCTTGGTACAATCCCCACACAACCTTCAAAGGGAGGGGGTTATGATTAATCACCCAGACAATAATGTCTACGGACAGAAATCTAAGAGACATGCTATATTAAATCCTCAATGTCGTAGATGGAGAGATAATGTTGATGGAGATGTAGATGGAGCATGCTTTGTGACGATTTGCATTCTGCCATCTCTAATTATACACTTTCCATAATCTTGGTTTACTATTTTCATATTACTGGAGACATTACAGGCTGGCAGTAGCTATGTATGCTACCTTCATACTCAGTGGTGGAAAAAGTAAAGATACCTTAATAGAAAATGACTCAAGTAAAAGTAAAATTCACCCAGTAAAATTCTACTTGAATAAAAGTCTAAAAGTATTTGGTTTAAAATATACTTAAGTATCAAAAGTAAATGTAATTGCTAAAATATACTTAAGTATCAAAAGTGAAAGTATAAATCATTTCAAATTCCTTATATTAAGCAAACCAGATGGCACCATTTTCTTGTTTTTTTATTTACGGAATGCCAGGGGCACACTCCAACACTCAGACATAATTTACAAACGAAGCATGTGAGTTTAGTGAGTCCGACAGATCAGAGGCAGTAGGGATGACCAGGGATGTTCGGTTGATAAGTGTGTGAATTGGACTAGTTTCCTGTCCTGCTAAGCATTCAAAATGTAACGAGTACGTTTGGGTGTCAAAGAAAATGTATGGAGTAAAAAGTACAATATTCTCTTAAGGAATGTAATGAAGTAAAAGTAAAAGTAGTCAAAAATATAAATAGTAAAGTACAGATACCCAAAAATATGACTTAAGTAGTACTTTAAAGTATTTTTACTTAAGTACTTTACACCACTGTTGATACTGTATATTTCCCCCTTTGGTGGCGATTATGTTGAGGTATGATTTCAAAAGCGTCCTGATCTGCCAAGCCTCAATGAAGGCCGCGTATGTGTCCGCTCTCTTCCGAGGTGGTTCTGAGAGAGGCTCACCAGCAGCGTAGCCCCATAAGTGTCTGAGAGTTCTGTGGTATCAGCTAGCCCACTGGTGCCCATGAACTCAAACCAGGGTCTATGGTGCCAGCTTGGCCTGAACGATCAGGGAAACACACTGACTCCTTCAGTTCCTCCGTGACTGACTCCGGTCCCTTGTTCCTCTGAACAGTGTAGGCTACATGGAAAGGTCATTAGATACAGATGTACTATCTTAATTTGACCAGTTTCTCACAGCAGGAAAATAATCCTGCAGCAACAGGAAATGTGAACTATTATGTGGATTATAATTAATGGACATTTTTGTAGGGGTTGATACATTTTTTGGTAGGATAAATCAAATCTGACATTTTAAAGTGGAAATTACAAACTTTAGAAGCCTGTTTAAACCTTGAATACACTGCAATTAGCATTTCCTGCTGAAAATTCTCTGCAACAACAGAGTGATCAAATGAAGATAGAACTTCTGTAGGCATTCTGTTGAGTATTAGTGTTGTGAACAGTGTTGGCCTAACCTACATTGAGGGGTAGAAAAGGGAGTCCAAATAACTCCTCATCCAAATGGATAGGCTGACATTAGATAGGTCTGCTGTAGAAGTATTAGTTTCCCTTGGCCCTCGTATTACTTGGCAAGAAATCCCCAAAAACTTACCCTGTTGATTTCTGTAAATGGCTTTTTATAACAAACAGAACCTATCTCACCTATTTGGCGTGCTTGATGTGGAATAGCTACTGGCACACCACACAGCCTATCCGTATTGACAATGGCCCTTTCCATAGAGCGGAAGCAGGACAGAACCATGGCTACTCACATTACCTCCGATTGGGCTGACTGGCACTGATGGGGTTTTGATTGTTGCTAAGGCTGATGAAAAGGCTTTTTATTTTTCCTTAGCATGTGTGTATCTTTCATTTTCTCTGCTCTGCTCAAATGCCCCGGCTTGCCTCCCTGCCCATTACACAGTATTCTGCTCCCTTTATTTCACAGATTGATAGCACCAAGCTAATAACAGGCTTTTGACTTTTAGGATGCAGGGGAAATGGTGCGCTCCTTTGTCGGTGGATTGGAACTGATTGTTAATTTGCTGAAATCAACAAACAAAGAGGTACTGGCGAGCGTGTGCGCCGCCATAGCCAAAATAGCCGAAGACGAAGAGAATCTGGCAGTCATCACCGACCATGGGGTTGTCCCAATGCTGGCCAAGCTGACAAACACAGTAAGTACATCTCAATGTAGGAGGACATAAAATACCTATAATCCTTCTCAATTAGCCTGTGTGTTTACTGGGAATATTCAGTCCTGTTATAAATTGACTATCCATTATATCATCATAAATTAACTTAATAGTTCTCAGATCCCTGTAATGTTTGAAGGAAGCTCTATTGAGTAGTATTCATAGTTTAGGCCCTGGTCAAAAGTAGTGCACTATATAGGGAATAGGGTACCATTTGAGACGCACCCATAGATGTCTGATGTCTTGTTCTCTCTGTATTACAGACTGATGATAAGCTGCGTCATTACCTGGCTGAGGCCATCGCCCGCTGCTGCATGTGGGGCAGTAACAGGGTGTCGTTTGGGGAGGGCGGGGCCGTGGCCCCCCTCGTTCGTTACCTGAAGTCCAAGGACTCCTCGGTCCACCAGGCCACAGCTCAGGCCCTGTTCCAGCTCTCCAAGAACCCCATCAACTGCATCACCATGCACGAGAACGAAGTGGTCAAGGTATGTTTGTTGGCCCCTGATGTTTTCGTTCACTTCTTTGCTCACAAGCACTTGTCCTTTCCATACCTAGTGGTCAAGGTACTGTATGTTCATTGGCCCATGCAAGTATTTTCATTAATATCTTTGCTCATGATCATTTCCTCCAAGCATTCTCCTCACACCTTCATAGACTTACTTTACATTTTTATTTATATAATTCCTTTAGATTTTCAGTATACTGTAGTTGCACATAAAGTAATTTTTTACATTTTTAGTTGGTGTTTTGAGACAAAATACTTCATCAGCCTTGATGAAAAAGGCTTGGAGCCCCATCACTCTACTTTGTTTTAGTGATGTGTGAAAACATTGGTAATAAACGTTGAAAAGCTGTAACTATTTTCAAAGCCTTTGACCAACGGAGCAGAAACAAAGCTAGTTTTATTCTCGTCCGAAACATGACTCCACTTTCTAACCGTCATGGGAATTCAGCAAAGCAAACAACTCAGTGTGTGCGAAGTGCCACTTCCCTTGTAGACCCTAGATGCCATTACAGAGCAAGTCAAAAGGCTGTATCTTGGGTAACTGTTGCTAAGAGTTGTCCCTGGACATGAGAGCAGAATGCGGCAGTGACATGTTTTAGGCCCAAGGAACAGGGCCACAGTTGTCTAGAGCAACACTGTTTTATGGGGGATATTTCAATGGAAAGCACTATTGCTTCATTGAGAAGAACATTTATTAACTTAGAAATAGTCCAGTCTACATTATTACGGTTATTTTGTCATAATCCATAATTGACTGAGAATAGGGACAGTGAGTGTTTCATTCAGAATAATACTTTTTATTATTTTCATTTTCAAAAGATTTTTCCTAACTAGTCATGTTTATATTTATGTGACATTAATGTAAAGATTTTAAGCTTAGATTAAAACTGCGTTTAATGTCATGTTGTAGAGAACACTGTAATGCAATGTTTGGGAAAATGTTCTTGGCTTTTTTTTTCTAATTCAATCACATTATTTTCAGAACAAGATTTTCACGAGAAACCTTTTTTCAACAACAACTGCGATATAAATTATGAAGTGGTTCTGCCATTGCAGCCAAATATTTTTTCCCATGTTCATTTAATGGTGTACTTTAGCTTGATCTGCTGTTGCAGTGTATGTGGTTCAACACTAGCCATAATTGGTAGCTGGACTGAACATTGGGTGTTCCGAAAGAGTAATGACCAATTTGCAAAAGTTGTTAAGCAGAATCTTTTTTGTAGTTCAAGCCACGACAAAACCTGGATAGCTGTGTGAGTGTGTTTGTGTGTGTGTACGTATGCCTGTTTGTGCATGTGTGCGTGTGCGTGTCTAAACGCCTTGCATACCACCCTTTTAATCAGTCTCTTTCTGTTTGCCCTTATTAATGTACCAGTGCAGAGTGAGTTGTTTCAACACAAATCCAAAATGTATTTTGGGATTTTAAAGAGCTTAATTACAAAAGAAAGGCAGGCCACGTTACATTATACCACTATTGCGTGTTTAAATTATTGTTATTCTGAGCGGTTAAAGGAAACACACACAGGCGGCTGCATTGTTTCAGTCTGACTGGGTTCATACTAACAGTCTGCTGATGTATACCTGCCTGACCCCTGGAAACATTACGACACCAGAGCCTGTCAGTAGTCAATTAATCAATCAAATGTATTTATAAAGCCCTTTTTACATCAGCAGATTTCACAAAGTGCTTATACAGAAATGCAGCCTAAACCCCCAAAGAGCAAGCAATGCAGATGTAGAAGCACAGTGGCTAGGAAAAACTCCCTAGAAAGGCAGAAAGAAACTTAGAGATGAACCAAGCCCTGACGGGTGGCCAGTCCTCAGTAGTGCCCCACTGGGCACACACTGGTTGAATCAACGTTGTTTCCACGTCATTTCAATTAAATTACGTTGACCCAACGTGGAATAGATGTTGAATTGACGTCTGTGCCGTGGGGCAACACTAAGCAAGACATTGAGGCCTGGCTGTATTATGTACAACCTGCTTATGATCTATGGATTGGTGTGACATAGAATGTGTTAGAACAATATTTCCTATCTCTTTCTGTAATGTTACATTCGGTCTAATTTACGGCAGTGTAAAATTCAAGACTGCCTCTTGTATTATTGCAACCATATTTCAAAGGGTATTTTCTCTGCCATTGAAAAGCTCTAAAAACATGTACACCCACAAGTAGTATAATGGTTTTGTAGGATTTTCTCTCTCTGTCAGAGCATGCTTGTCTCTCTCTCTCTCTCGCCTCATCTCTCTCGCTCTCGCGGTCCGCGACGCGAGCGCGCGCGAAGCGAGCGAGCGAAGATCGAGCGAGCGAGAGGCGAGGATAGCGAGCGAGCGAGCGAGCAGGACGAGCGAGCGAGCGGACGAGCGAGATGAGCGACGAGATGCTGAGCGAGAGAGCGAGCGAGAGAGAGAGCGAGCGAGCGAAAGCGAGAGAGCGGAGCGTAGGAGAGAGATAGAGAGAGCAGAGAGATAGAGAGAGAGATAGAGAGAGAGCGAGATAGAGAGAGAGTAGAGAGAGAGATATAGTAGTAGAAGGCTAGGATGAGAGATGAGGCGAGAGATGAGAATCAGGCTTCATCTTCGTATTCCTCTCTCTCCTCTATATCTATATTATCATCGTATCTATCCGGCTCTATCCGCTACTCATATATCTCTCTCTCTCTCTCTCTCTCTCTCTCTCTCTCTATCTATCTATCTATCGCTCTCTCTAGCTCTTTCTCTCTCTCTCTGCTCAGTACTGTAAGTAACTTTCCTCCCCAGCATGCTTAATGATGTATAACACAGTCCCCTAAGCTTAGCAGAGGAAATTTAGCATTGAAAATAAAGTATTTTACACTGGAAAACACATTAGTGATCCGTCTGAGTTTTTTTGCTTTTTTTTCTGTCCCTCTGTCTTAAAAATATCCAAATGCCATTTCATTGCATCTCTTCAAATTTCATAAACTGTATTAAAACCTTAAAGCAACTTTTAATATTGCATGAATGTCACACCCTGGCTCTGGGACTCTATATGTTGAGCCAGGGTGTGTTCATTCTGTGGTGTTCATTCTAGTTTGTTGTATTCTATGTTTGCCTGAGTGACTCCCAATCAGAGGCAACGAGTGTCAGCTGTTGGCTGGTTGTCTCTGATTGGGAGCCATATTTAAACTGTCTGTTTTCCCTTTGTGTTGGTGGGTTTTTGTTCCGTGTTCGGTCATTGATACCGTGGACGTCACGAGTCGTTTCTTGTTTTGTATTTGTGTTTAAACTTTAACTAATTAAAGTATGTTTGTTCATCACGCTGCGCCTTCGTCTGTTCCATATGACGATCGTGACAGAAAAACCCACCTCGACTGGATCAAGCAGCGTGACGAGGAGAGAGGATGGACTTGGGAGGAGATGAGTGCGAGTCTGGCAAGAGGGATGGAGGCCTTGGCCACGGGTAGGAGTGAAGCCCATACATTTTTTAGGGGGGGGGGGCTAACGCCGTGGACGACGGGGCAGCAGGAGGCCGCCAGGTTACGGGAGTCACTGGTCACCAGGGGGAAGGAGGATGTAGAGGCACGGCGAGAGGTACTGGCGTGTGTTGCCAGTCCGGTCCGGCCTGTTCCTGATCCCCACGTAGGGCCAGTGGTGTGTGTTCCCAGTACGGTCCGGCCTGTTCCTGCCACTCGCACCAAGTCAGTGGTGCGCTTCGTCAGCCCGGCACGGCCCGTTCCTGCTCCCTGCACCAAGTCAGTGGTGCGCTTCGTCAACCCGGCACGGCCCGTTCCTGCTCCCCGCACCAAGTCAGTGGTGCGCGTCGTCAGCCCGGTCCGGCCCATTCCTGCTCCCCGCACCAAGTCAGTGGTGCGTTTCGTCAGCCCAGCTCGGCCCGTTCCTGCTCCCCGCACCAAGTCAGTGGTGCGCTTCGTCAGCCCGGTCCGGCCCGCTCCTGCTCCCCGCACCAAGTCAGTGGTGCGTTTCGTCAGCCCGGCGCGGCCCGCTCCTGCTCCCCACACCAAGCCAGTGGTGTGCGTCGTCAGTCCGGCACGGGCCGTGCCTGTTCCACCGGTGGCTGGTCCGGCACCGGTCAGATGCTTCGCGCCGGAGCTAGAGCAATCCGCTCCACCAGTGTCAAGTTCAGCTCCAGCCAGCGGGGCCAGACTGGACCAAGGGTGCTATGGGGGGTTAATTGGAGGGTGGTGGTCAAGGCCGGAGCCAGAACCGCCGCCGAGGAGGTATGCCCGCCCAGCCCTTCCCTGTTTTGTTTTAGTTGAGGCGCGGTCGCAGTCCGCGCCTTTAGGGGGGGGTACTGTCACACCCTGGCTCTGGGACTCTATATGTTGAGCCAGGGTGTGTTCATTCTGTGGTGTTCATTCTAGTTTGTTGTATTCTATGTTTGCCTGAGTGACTCCCAATCAGAGGCAACGAGTGTCAGCTGTTGGCTGGTTGTCTCTGATTGGGAGCCATATTTAAACTGTCTGTTTTCCCTTTGTGTTGGTGGGTTTTTGTTCCGTGTTCGGTCATTGATACCGTGGACGTCACGAGTCGTTTCTTGTTTTGTGTTTAAACTTTAACTAATTAAAGTATGTTTGTTCATCACGCTGCGCCTTGGTCTGTTCCATATGACGATCGTGACAATGAAAAATATGAAAACATCTTTATATGAGCATAATTAATACCCCAAACTATTTTTTACAGTGTTTGCCTTGGTGATTTCATTAGGGGTACAAAATGCTTCGCTTAGAGGTTTCGTGTTTTGCCACTGTGCTATTGTGTGTTTTGCCACTGTGTTATTGTGTGTTTTGTCCTGCATTCCGTTCCCTGGTTCTGTTGGGGAGCTCTGTGAACAAGTTCAGGAATGAGGAGCTTTCAGGGGCTGCTAGCTTTCCCAGAGGAAGTGTGTACCAGGGCTAAGCAGAAAAAGTGGCCAAGATGAATTGCCCTTCCCGTTTGATTTGACATCTACACTTGGTATCTCACAGTTTTATAAGGCTGGTGCTTTATTTTGTCCCTTGTACAAAATCAACACACCCTCCTCTAACTTTACATTGCTTCCAGAGGGCTGGAGATTGTTTGCTGAAACCATAAATCCTTGTGGACAGCTTCAGCCAGCTTTCTGTATTAAAGAGGCTATTTCAGTAAATTGATGTAAATTACAAAATGCGGATGGTAATTATTCCTAATTTTCAACTGAAGGTATTCCAAAGAATGGCCGTTGCCAGCTCCTAGCTGGTATGTATTTTATGGCTTTACATCTCTAAATGAGAAACATTTTGTACTGTTGTTGCCATGCCTACTCTACACTCCTCCTGCGCTTTACTTTGCGCTGTCTGTGTTTGTTTTCA